CATTTTACAAATGATTAAATGATCAAATATATGGAAAGAATTCCCTTCCTCTCTTTCTTTTTTCAAATTTTGAGAAATTTTATAAATACTTCCACAAATTAAGCTATAGAAAACTAGAATACTTTGAACTCTGAAAAATACTGAATTTTTAAAACGTGAACGGGATATGTATCAATAATCAAACTTGAATGTTCAGGAGATGTCAACATTTCCTGATTCCGGATCCGTTATTTTTTCTTCGTTCGCTTCCTTAGTTCGCCTCCATAAATTGCATAAATTTCCTCGTCCTTATGTTCGTCGCGCCGTAACGCATGTGCGATCGCATGTCCCTCGCAGCGTTAATTCGGCGGTTAAAGATTTCACCATCGCGGCGAAGCATGTGCGGGTGGTTTCATTATGGGCTTCCAGTACAACGATTCACTTCAAAACGGCCTACTTGCTCGCTCACGGCGGGGCTCAGGTACCCGTACTTGCTCATTGAATTATTGCGCTTCCGTGGTTGCGCACACGGTTAGTGCATGAGATCAGTTTAGTTTGCAGCGAACGAGCGTAAACGTCGAGCAAAAGCTACGCAACGGTAACATAGCTCTAACGCCGTCGAGAGAGAATCAGATTTAAGGACAAAGTTAAATCGAATCGCGCGGGGTTTGCGCATGTCGGAAAAAAATTTTCATTAATAAAAGCGAAAGCGGTTATTTCTCGCATAAAACGTACCGCAGGAATAAATGCGTTAAAGCCGATATAACGATTCGTAAATGTCACGATAGAGAAGTCAGCGCGCGAAGAAATATAAGGGTGAAAAATACGCTCTTTATAAATCCAAGAGAATTCGAGAAAAATATCTTAAAGAGACTTGTAAATCTCGTCGCGTTCACGAATCCACAAATTAATGAAGTTTCCGAATCTCTCTCGCTTTTCGACGACCATCGAAGTAATCGCTGTTCCTCTACGAATATAATTGTCTGCAATTTGCGCCCGCGTAATATTCTGTCGTGGCAATCAAAGTCTATATCGGGACTATAACCGGTAGCGTTATCGATCTGTAATACCTGGCATTACATTCCGTTAAGTGTTCCATTCTGGTGACGCATCCCACTTCCCTTTCCCGACCTACCAACCCGTCGAGCTGTCAGCGACTGCTGCGAAAGTGGGTCGTACAGCTGTCGGGTCCCTTGGCCGCAAAATTCGCCAAGAAAATTCCGACTTCTGTATCGTGAATAATAACGATTCGACATGGAGAAAGATACGGATATACATATTCGGAAAACGCGCAGCAGCTCCGGGTCACTTGTCGCGTACAAATTCGCCGGGAGTCGCAGCCTCAGCACGATCGTGCGGAAAATTCGCTGAACGAACGTATACTTGCCTTAGTAATCCCCCGTGCAATTTTCTATCCTCCATCTGAGATCGAATAACGCACGCGTTATAAAATCGCGAAATTATTCCGCGTGGCAAAACGTTTCTTTTAAATGACGGGATTATTTTCTAATCTCCGCGAAGCGTATATAATTTTCTCCAGTAGAAGATTGTGTATACGTACTTATTCTCTTCCCGTATATATAGAGATAGAAACGGCAAATGCAAAATGTAAAAGTAATGAACGCGTATCCTGTCAACGCAATACGAATTAATTATATCTGCAACTGTAGTAAAACCGCAAAAATACATTTATTTTTTCTCACCAATAAAAATTAAGACGTAATGAGTCATATATCCTGTTAATACGATAAAAGGAATTTAATGTGTTTCTAAAATGCGTGCCATACATTCTGCACGCGAACATGTTAAAAAATTCGGACAATATATCTCGGAACGTGATGGGAGAGATTTTCGCGAATGAAGCGGTGATCGCCAAAATGGACCACAAAGTGTTATTGATGAAAGGGAAAGTAATGGAAAATTGATCGGGTTTGATGACAGCCAGGTGTGAACATAAACGATTCTCGGCTCGCCGCACAGTTATTATTTGATTCGACTGTATCGAAGATTAAAACGCACATGCCATCGCGTACGATTAAGTACCGCGTATTTTTTTTTTTTTGCTGTAGTATTTTTTATCTCGTTTATTCGTCATACTTGTGCAATCAACACTGAAGATTGTAACCGGAATTTGATTACATTCCACACGTCAATATAACTAATGCTCGCAATATAATACAAAATCTAACTGATAGGGTGGAAGTTTTATCGCGTTATGCAAGCTTTTTGGATAACTACTACAACGCGAAAAAATAAAAAAAATCTCTTGACACAAAGTGAACAAAAATCATGTTACAGCGCGAGAACGAAGAAAATATTGATTTGGCGTCGAGAATGTTTTACGTTTTTTTTTTTCCGAAAAAAATGGCAAAATATTTGTCAGAAAATTCAGAATGGTATTTTGACGCGGTCAACAAGGACCATCGATTCTACTTTTGACGTGACCGACGTCGATGAGATCGGTAAAAAAAATATATAACGTAAAAGTTGTCGTGAGGTCGACACTACACGCGCCAGTACAGACGATCCTTTAGCGTATTATTGTTTAATCCGACCGCGCATGAAATCGAATTACATACATCGACTGAATATATGTGTAGCGCTCATACCTATGTGTTCCACGCCATTTCACGACGAGAGGATTAAAAGCCAAACGATGTTGAACGATCGATACAAGAGGGCAAAATCGATGTTTGCGTAATGTACGCTAATTGACCGCTAGTTAGCATAGAAAATAGCGCCCTAAATATGCAAATGATGCAAGATGAAACATTCGACGGGATGCGAGAAGCAAAAACTGTATCCGGCAAAGTAGTTGCAGGGAATAGTGAATTACATAGGTATCAAAATTTTTATATTAAAAGATGCGAAAAAATCATTTATTGAGAAGACATTTAATAAAACAATATATCTCTCTTGGTCTTGGTAACGATATATCATATATTCCTTGTGTGAACCGTCAGATATTTTGGGCATTTTAATATTGGAGCATGTACTCGAAAATCTTACTCTGCCCCGCATGATTATCGTTATGGATTTAAACCGTGTGCAGGGATCGCGATACATCCGGGAAGCTGAGCAGCATTTCAAACGGGATAATACCGCCTCGCTATGGCATGTTTCGCGCGTAATTCCCTTGAAAAGTTAAACCGGAACGTCCCGTGTGTGCATATTATATGCAGTGTACGGTGCATCTGACACACGAGATGCGCGCTGCCGAGAGAGCGCGTCTACGCGCGGCTGTGACAATCGAGGCGCGGCCGACCGACCGGTTGACATTTTCGCGTTTTCCCGGCCCTCGTCTCGTAATTAATTATCGGTTCACCGCGACGAAAATAGACAGCCGCGCACTCGAGCGGAATTTTGCGCGCATACGTGATGACCGGCGTGAATTCTGTCTTCGGCAGAAATTAGAAATCGACGTGCAATTTCACGCGCGTCGACGTCAGCCGACACGTTCTCTCCGAACGCGTTTTAAATATCAACGTATATTCATTAAGCTTGATGGTTATTATAAAATCGATTAGGAAAAAGAATTTAAACGATATATTCGGAGATTTAAATCTCTCAGCCTTCAAACAATCACGTATGCGACTCTTTTTCCTCCAGTTGAAAAACAAGATAAAAACACGTTCTTATATATGCAAATAAAACACGTTTATATTTTATATTAACACTGCAGCAGACTGCGCAAATAAGCTGCGGCAGACTGCGCAATAAGCTGTGTATATAAGATACGATTTTACGAGGATCGTAAAACATCTCAAGATATGCCTTACGATTGGTACTCAACCATCCGCGGAGATCGCATTTTTACAGTATATCACCATCAATACTGCTCCCTATACTCATATCTCACATTCCACAGGCTACGCGATTGCGTCTGTCTCTTTGCGATCTCGGGCTAGAATCGCGATTGGTTAATGCAGTCAGATATTTAGATAGATTTATTTAATTAATATCATGCATATATAGATATATATATGTCTATATATACATATATATGCACATGTATATTTTCTGTATTGCGCGCTTTTATCGAACCGGAAAACAAATTGCACACAAAGCCTGTGGAAATATGCGACAACGTATTGGCGTAATTAAGCCCGGGCAATCGCTAATTAGCGACGAGTTTATCGCGTGTTTAACGTATTCGATTGTGAATTACCTATGACATAATCGTTGTCAGGCAATATCGGTAACTTCTGACGATTTCGGCGCGCACGAACACGCGCGTCTATTCCAAATTACGCCAGTACTTGCGGCCGAGTATAACTGAGAGAAATTGTGCAATGAATATTTGCGTATACGCGCGCAAACAACAGCGCGCAAACAATGGCGAGTTAATTGGTTGCTAGGATGTTTAATAATATGTTAACATTGCCACAACATTAATAATAAAATTCAGTTGTTCGAATCGAGCGGCGGATGGAATCAAGAGTAGGTGTTGCTCTCGATTCGCAAATACCCGTATCGCATCGCGATTATTGAAGAAACTTTGAGAAACTTTTTAATTTGTGCTATAAACGTAAATTTTTTCAAAATTTAGCATGTCTCTTTCAATTTTGCATCGCTAAAAGATTAAACGCACTTCGCTGAAAATTTCTCTCGATTATGAAGCCTGATACTATTGTATATAAAACGGCTTTAATGCCCTAATTTACAGGATGATCATTAAAAGTCACAAAGTTTCATTTTAAAATATTTAATTGCAATATTATTAAACATTACAGCTCGTATTTTTTCTCAGTTGAGTTTTGCGACGTTTGTGTCATCCTGTAGCAAAAATTCTTCCAGCACTCGATAGCACACGTTGGATCCATCGATCTACAGAAAGACACAGATAAGACTATTCACTCCTGTCAACTCACACCCAGCCCACCTTCTTTGGCAGGGAATTACATGCGAAACGCTTACAATATCTCTTACAGCGAGCGACTTAATTACAAGTTTACCTTTCTCTGTTTTCTGTTCGCTTCTTATGTTATGGACCGACCCTGGTTTCCGGTTTCTCTGTGCAGTCCTTCAAGGTAATTCGCCACCGGCTTTTTCTCTACTTTCGCCTTGATCTTTATCTCTACTACATTCTGATATATTCATTCAGATCATCGCTACGTCACTATGTCACTATAATTATAGAAAGCGTCTCTGAATTCGTATATCTAGAATTAATATATAATATCTAAATAATAGACGACAAATTTAATTTATTATTACTGATTCCATCTTAAATTTTTATATTTATGTTTCTAAAAATTCTCTTTTTGATCAAAAGCGGGCTTTGAAATCTTATATAAAAAGAATATGCTATTAATATTTTTGATAAAAATATAACAATAAAAGAAAGAGAAAGGTAAAAGTTGGATTTATACATATGAAATATAGTTTTATAATTATCTTTTTATGGTGACATATACACATGTACATCATACATACATCATTCACACGAACACCCCATTTCAAATTCTTATTTTCGACTCTTTTTTTATCACCTTTCGTTATCTGTCTCTTTCAACATTTCTCTATCTCTTCATAAGCACATTCACGACTTTTTAATAGTTTCGTTTCTTCATGTGCCTCTTCTCGTGCGCCACCATATCTCCTCGCTCATCGTCGTTACCTTCACTGCATGCCGATGTTCGATTTTATTGGCGAAAAGATTTCCGGGATCGATGTAACGAAAGAGGTAGTATAGTCTCGAAAAAACGGACAACGTTGCTCTTTCTCGGATCCTTGGATACTGTTATCTCGGATCGTCTCGTACAAAAGCCCTTACTCATCTTCTTGGCAGAAGATGATGCCAAATTTTTTGCCCTCCGCGCGCGCGCACATCCTTCTAAAGAGGAAGAGCGCCTTCACGTTCCATCGATCCTGCGCTTGCAGGCAGCGTCGCCCATAAATGCGGACATCGGCGTGCATTACACGACGTCGCCGAGCTATGCAAACTATGAACCACCGTGAGAGCTTAATGTGCGCCTTTTCTGCGTCCGTCCATACACAGAGCAAGTAGAGAAGCAGCACGAGCGAGCAAAGTGCGAGAGTAGCGCGCGCGCGCGTTCGCATGCTAACGACAAGACGAAAAAAGCAAAGAAAAAAAGAAGAAAAAATAACAATAAAAAGAAAATGCACATACGCGCGCGCACGCACTCGTGCGCATTCGCGAACGTAGAGCGGCCGCTGACTTTGCATTTTGTAGTCGGTGTTTTTTTATGCGTCCTATTGCCTCTCTTTTTCAGCACTCTTCCACCCCTATTCTCTCCCCCCGACCCGTTACCCGCCTGTCCTCGTCCTCCTCACGCTTGACGCGCTCGGTGAAAAACGCGTATTTTTTTTTCCTTTTTTTTTGCACGACACCATTATGCCACCCAGCGCGATTTTTGAAGCTTTTTTCCACGGGACTGTACCACCACCGCCGCCATTTATGATGCAAATCGAAGCGGATTCCTTCCTTCTTAATTATCTCTTTTTGTGGTGCAGCCTTGAACCAGCCGATTGACGAATCCTATCTGAAAATCGGATCCTTGAACCCTCGGTTTTTATGTTCTGACGAGACTCTCAGAAGCGTAGACATCTGTACAGGAGAATTTACTCGAAAAGTTGATGCCCGATATCTTAAGCGAAGATTTTGATATCTTTGGCCATATTTAGATATTTACATGAATATTACATCTCTATGTCTGTGAATCTTTAACATTTCTTTATTAAGAAAATTTAATAATCTAATTAAAGATGAAGAACGTGGCTATAAAATTTTTAACTTTGATTAATTGCAACTATTTCAACAAAATTTTAATTTTTTTATGGCTACATTATTATTTATTATATTTGATATTGGAGAAATTAAATTTTCATCACGAGATATCGATCGCACATTCAATCATCAATTTATTACCAGGGAAAAGCGCGCAACTTATGTAATATCTCGTATAAAGTGAATACTTTATGAATATTTTATCTCCCAGAAGAATTTATTTACTCGATGCGTACAAAGTTAACCGATAAAAACAGCCATTACGGATATCGCGTATTATCGATCTCATGTTCTCGCGGACAATCACCTCAGAATATACCAAGGTAACCCTTGTCGATCCCTAACCGAAGATCCGAAGGAAGAAAATCGCGCCTTGCATTCGATTGCACTCGAAACGCATGCACGTTGCGAGCATCACAGAGAGAATTTCTGGTTTAGTTTCGTCATAGAAACGCATGCCTGACAGATTGATATGTATATACGGATGTTAACGAGGACATAGTCTGAACACATACACACATACACACACACACATAAAAAAACACACCATGCACGCACGCACGCACATAGGTATACATATGTACACATATACACATATCATTTGCATGTCAGCAATTTTCGCATTGTCGATAGAATCCTAGTTTTCTATCGCGCATAGTCAATAAATGGTATCGAGTGGACGTTACGAAAGGAATTTTTGATTCCCGATTTATGAAATTCTGCTTTGTGTCAAATGCTCAGGCTAAGAATCCGCAGAATCCAAGATTCTCGGATCTCTTGGCAGCTTCGGCATTCGTATTCTCGTATTTCGAGATTTCTGAGTTTCTCCGTTCTCGGGAAGTTGAGTGATTGTCTGCCACCCGAAACAAGAATCCTTCTGGATTCATTACTCAACACGCGGTCGTTCGCCATTTACAATCCTAAGGAAAGGAAGCCCGGGTTTCCGACGCGCCGCGCGAAAGAAACGGGAAGTCTCGGGGAAATGAAATATGCCGTTGCGAAAAAAAGTCCGCGAAAAGCTCTCTCTCTCTCTTTCTCTTTCTTTCGCTTCTTCTTGCGAGTTTTCCATGGCGAAGACAAGGCGCGCGCCAAACAAGCGTCGTAAATTTCAGGTCCCTCCTCGAGAGAATCGTACCTCATCGAGAGAGGGAATGCAAGCGAGCTGCCTTCTTGCAGCCGCGTGTTGACAGTGGCTTTATCTCGGAAGAAAGGCGTCCGGTCAAATGTAAGAAAGTTCGCGAGAAGTTCCGGGGCGTTCTTCGTACCTTCGTGACGGAAACGAAATCGCGGTGATATCTGCATGGACTTTTTTAAAGTCGCGGATATTAACTCGCAAAATTACTTGTATTTCGATATTCTTTTTACAAAGATGAGAAAAATAAAGTCACGCAGCTTGTATTAAAAAACTAAACAATTGCATTAATTTTATTAATAAAACATATTTTTATATGTATAAAATCTTTATTCTCATTTTTGGAGTGTTTGAGATTTTCGTGGCGCGATTTTTCCCAAAATTCGGATTTATATGAATGGTGGCGCAAATACGGGCCATTAAATCGAGATGCTTGTTAAATAGAATAACGCATCGCGTTTCGGTGACATAAACGCTCAGCAATCGGCCGCATCATTAATAACTTTATTCACGATCAATCACATAGCCAATCTAAAGCTCGCTCTCGTTTTTACTGTACCTGCGTGTCGCTCGGAATAATGAACATCGATACTAATGATGTGTTAATAATTCGGAAAACGAAAACGCTGACGTAAATGTACCTACGGGCTTTGAAAAGCTATTTTTATTCTAGGAAAAACCATCCGTGACGCATTAGTCGCTTTCAATATTAAAATGGCATTTAAATCGTTAAGCTTCCTCTTTTTATTTAACATCGAGCTATTATTCCTATTATCCTAAAACATAACTTTTTACTTTTGCTTTAATCATCTAGATTTTAATATGTAAATATGAGAAAAATTAATATGCACAATCGTTATCTCTCTTAACAATAAAATAGTTTATACAAGTTGCGTGACTTTTGATCGATTATCTTTCTAACGTGCGATCCGAAAAATATAATGCCACATTTGATGTCCTAGTGAAAACAAAAATTACCTCGAATTTTCCGATGCACTTTCGATAAAACGACAGAAAATTTCAAGAAGAATCCGCGCTCGAGAAAGAGAGAACATCGCGATGTCTTTCGAGATATTCGGCGTGAAATTCCATCAGGAGATGCGACGCGAGTTTATTCTGTAAATATAACCGACTATCAAGCCATAATACAACCATTTGGACAAGACTAGTAAAAAATAACGCAGCCGTGTGTCGCGGAGGTCACTTTTACGAGATATTTAAAGGCGGTCTCGAGAGACGCTCGTCCGGCGTCTCTCTCCTCTTCTATCGCTGCTCCGAACGTAGGGCGTAAATTTTCAACGTTATACGACCAACTTACTCCTTACGTTCTTATCAGACCGTCGATCGATGGCGCGCACGCGTGCGATTGGAACCCGTAAATCGATGTAACCCCGCCAAGCCGCGCTGACCCTCAACGCGGGTCTAATAATGTACAGGGGGTTGGAGGGGGCCACCGTGATATATCGAGTTTAGATTTCTAACGCGCGAGATCGAGTGGAATTTAGGGAGGATCTGCTCCTCCGTCCGGCGTTGCGGCGACGATAAAGGATTTACGAGCGGAATTTTGTTCCCCGCCGTTGTAATGGGTTTCCTGATGAAGATTGAATTCGGGCCTCTTTCGGGCGCGTTTTGTTGTCTTCCTTTATTTTCTCTTTTTTTTTTGCATTCGATATTAATGAGTAAGATTCGTACAGAAATCATTTATTACGGTTTCCTTTCGGTTTATCGGAAATTTAAAGAGTGAATTTTTCAGCGCGCTGGAGAGAGGGAAGTTAAAGGGGAGCGATGAACGTTCAGAAACGAGACGAGACGTATATGACGTAGGGCGTCACAAAAAGCCATGATTATCGTTTAATAATTAATGGCAACGAATTAAATGTCATAAAGTATTCGGCGAAAAATGAACGCCGTACATTGTTAATTCATTGCCGTTTCGAAATAGATATTTATCAGACTACCAAATAAATGTATGCGGAATATCCTGTTTTTTGAATTTTGAATTAACAAACGGTGATGTGACTTTTCGTTACTTGAATCACAAGAAAACGAGCATCTTAAATTTTACAACGTATATCGTCACATAGTGACCTCGGGGCCGGGTTATTTTGTTGTCATTCGCGCGGCTGATATGTCACTGATATGTTGTCATTCCTGAGACTGGAATGTTGCGACGTAAGCCGTCGTAGTATTTTGAAATGTGATCACGAGAGACATCGGGAGATAGCATACGTTATAATATGTATAATAAAGTGCGTGTCGCGTATCGATTAACGTCGAAAGTATAATGTAAAGTGTCGCGTATCCTGTTGATTAGTGTGCGCGATCGTTATCAATTGTATTTTTGCCAGTTTTATCATGTAAGTGCCATGAAGGATCAGTAAAAGACGTCATATATGTCTCGTCACTCTTTCATGTTCTGACAGATTGATGACTTGGAAACAGCGCTCGTACGAATTAGCTGCCGCTTGTGGATGAGAATGCACTGTTTTCTCTTATCTTGCAAGGAAGATTAATAACAAATACATAAATGCACTCAAGGTCCATATGCATATCAATGTATAATTATATAATTTTTATTGTTTTACAATTATAAAGCTAATTATCCACGCATTTTAATACAATCTTCTCGTGCAATCTTCTCGTTTCGCTGGAAGAGACTATCATTTTTCGGTATTGACATGCTTTGTAAATAGCGTCGACTTTCAGTCGCGGCCAAGTACCAAAACTTTTCTCCGCGACGAAGATGATCGCGTTGTTTCGCCAAGAGCGTTTTTCTCGCAACACTTTTGCCGAGAAGTTAGTACTTTGGATGCGCTGTAAAAATTTCATTTCCGAAGTGTATTATCCGACGCGCGCGAGAAATGGGCACACGATTACGCGATAGATGCTCATGTAAGGACCATTTTACGATTACGACGACTACAAGGCGCGTTCTTTACGACGGAACGTTGATTACAGGCCAAGCCACCGCGAATGAAATCTTCCTTGTAAAAGAATCAGTCAGTATTTAGCGACAGTACGTTGCACTGCACGTTGCACTGCTAGAATTGATTAGTCCTATGAATGTCGCATGCTGTCGAATACGGGAGAGCACCGATATACACGAAGGATACACATGCCAATCAAGTTTTGTACCATCTTCCTGTCGGCGGGTACGAACGATTTATTATCACGAAAAATACGAAAAAGATTACAGATTCAGACCTATGATAGTTGAAACTAGTAGATGATTATTAAATCCAAACATTCGAAGCAAGATTTTTGGAAAACGAATTTTTAACGATCTAATGTCTCTGCAAGAAAATCTCCGAAGAGTTTAGAAAAGGAAGTTCAGAAGCCGGAGATACAGAACTTAGAAAAGTAGCGAAAAATCTTGCGCTGTTATATTTATAGACAACGTCTTGGTTTACTTTGTCGCGTGCGATACCGAAGATTTACAAGTGAAGTGGAGCAAAACTTTCTTCAACATGTGTATAACGGTATATAAGTTGGAGAAGCGCCGCGTTTCTCCCATGATTCTCACAGATCATGATACGGCCCTCGCGACATTCACATAACGGCATAACCGCGATCTCACGTGACATATCTATCAGTGCATTCGATCATGAACGCTGTTACCATTCATCACCCTTTCTTGAATCATCTCATCGAATCATATCGCCTAATCTATATCGCTATAATCGTTCCCGGGACGCTCCGGGAAAGACGAGTATCAGTCGTGGGAATGTTATATTCCGCAAGTAATCTCCAGTTCATTTTTCTTTAGCAAATACATAATATCGAACTTAATTGCTCGGCTTCGAGACATTCGAAAAGAATGAAGATTAAAGAGACTCGTGCGGTATTTAAGCGCTTTTTTTAAATTAAATTCTTGCTAAAGGAAGGTCGACGCGCCGTGTGAATTCCTTGAGAAAATAACTCCCGCCACTGAGGTATACGTCTCTCTTGGGGCATCCACGATTATAACTAATGCATAGTTTATAATTAAATACAGACCACACAAACGTGTGAATATTTGGATCCAGTGTTTCAACGAAACTTTTGGACTTTCGAAGAAATCAGATCTCCCGGATATCATTGCATCCGAGGGATCGTAAACGGTTGAGCGGTTTGCGAAAATATTTATTTTTATTAGCCCCTTTTGTTCCTCGCGCGACCGACCCGAGGGAACGTAACCGCGAAAGTCCGTGAGAACGCTTCTTGATAGAAATCCTCGGGGGCCCGTAGATCATAATTAAGCGGCGCCACGGAATCGAAATTTTCCGCGGGTGCGAAGCTCGCCAAACGACGTCGTCGTCGTCTTGCCATTATTCACGATGAGTATCGCGGCAATGGCGTAGCGATATCGTCGTTTTCATGCGAAATGACGTTTATCGTAATTACCCGTCCAGGCGCATTGAACGCACTAAATTTCGCACGGTTCTCTATTAATTACCTACTGATAATCTCGACCTGTAATTTACAATACGCCGGAGAACCCTCCATCGAAAAATCGCGCGTCGATTCAACCGTCCCGTACGACCCGCTTAATTAATCGCAGTTGCAAATGACTGATTAACCCTTGTAATCGGTGACTAATTAGTTTCCTGCGCGCCGCCGTAACGACGTCACGTCGCGAAGAAAAATAACTCGCTCTTCCTGTCTCTACTTGGTTACTCGATCGATTTACAAGCGATATTAATTCGCCAGAGTATATATCGACATAATAGTAATAAAAAATCGTGATAACACGATCAATCTTTCTTGCTGACGGAGAACGTGCGCCTCGAACTGTTTTACGTCGTCGGGAGAAACGAGCAAAAGACGGAGAATCGATTTTTCTTTCAGAGAGGACACGCGGAGTTCCAGAATAAAAGGAGTCTCACGCCTGATTTCTTTCTCTCTCTTTCTCTCTGTGTATTGTTACCGTCGAGAGCGCGATCTCCTTCTCTTTCGTATTTTTTTTAATTCTTTTTTTTTTCTTGATCAATTGTGTACATGTGTCTACTATTCTTATATTGATTCAATGATGTTATTCTGTGGTGCTTTGCATGTCTCTATTGGACTCTGCATGTCGTATAGGGCATCGTAAGTACTTATTAAATGAACTCGTCATAAGACTACGAAAAAATACACACGACACTTTTCAGACGCCAATCTCGTCGCCGGAGGGCCATGTGTATCCGCGAATCCGTCGATCCACGGATCATGCTCGGATTCGAATCTACTTCGAATCTTGAAATACTCCTTGTGGATCTTTGGATTCGTGGATCGTTAAAGATCCCTGGATGTTCAGATTCTTTTTCCAAGGCGAAGATCCTCGAGATTTCGAATCCTCGAATCCCGGGATCGCTGAATCTCCCGATTCGTGGTTTCAGATGATCGTGATCGAAGATTCCTTAGATTCTAACATTCGGGGATGCCACGCGGATCGTCTGATCCTTGAATATTTAGATTTTTTGTACACAAGTAGTAAAATCCAGGATCGTCTCTACGACGACGTCTGGCTATTTACATAAAAATACGATCGAGGAATCTCGTTTCGCTGATCCGTTCTAGTACGTGATACAAGTTTGAATAAAATAAACCTAATATTGCCGTGATAAAAGTAGGAGGATAAATATAAAAAGAAGCAAATGATAAAAAGAGACAAGTAGAGCATCAAGCCTAATCGAAGAAACTATGCCAATAGGACAAAGATAAAAAAAATCGGTCAACAGAAATTCTAAGATCCCTCTAATAAAAATAATAAAAATCCCAACACTCTCTGGATCGCTATTCTTAATCTGTTGATCCACGAAATCTCAATTAACTATAAATATTTAAAATCCTTAGAATAATTAAAGATCACAAAGATATCTCAAAGGATCAGTGAAAATCTCAGCTACATGTTCCTTGAGACAGTTCCGTGTTTCAAGATGTATTTCTGCTGCAGAACGAAAACTTTGTCGACACGTATACAACTTCACGGCTCGATGCTCTGAATACAAAAGAACGTAGCCGGGCGAGAGGTTGAGAAAAACAGAGGAACGAGCGTTCGCCGATCGATACGATTTCAAGTTGCGGAAGAGAAGTTCTCTTCCTCTCCTCTTAATCTTCCATCGCACAGGGCGAGCCTCGTGGTGCTGCGCGTCTCTCGCCCTCTTACATTTTTATTAATTTATCCCGGCATAGAGGAAACCCTAGCAGTAGCGATGTATCGTTATTAAACTCGCCTTTTTCGTTCGTTCGGACAGATAGCCCGGCTAACGATCGCCGATCGACTTCCGTTACGATTCTGTCCGCCCTCTCCCCGCCGTCTCTCCATTTCTTTTTCATTTTTCTTTTCTACCCTTGTGTCAATATTTTTCTCCCGCAACACCTTCAGATGCCTAGTTAATCCCTCCTTTTCGTTAGTTCTCGGCTTTTCCATGGTACCTCACGAACCTGTAAAGATTAAAAGATATTAACGAGGGAGACGAGCAAAAAGAACAAAAGGGAAAGTGAGAAGGAAGGCAGAAAATAAATAGATGGAAGAGAGGGAGGAGGAAAGATGGAAAAGAGAGGGATTTGTGCCACGAGGGAAATGCCGACAGCATTCGGTGAACGCGGGAAAGGGGAAAAATGACTTCCGCGGATTTTTCCTCGCGCGAAGTTGTTCTATCCGCGCGCGAGAGTGTATAAAAAAATTCCCTATCTCTTTAATAATATTACCAGGCGCGTCGAGAATCGTGTAATTTTGCGCTTACTATAAACATGTCGAAACAAATCTTAAATTGTCAAATCGACTCTTTTCGCTCGACTCTACCTTACTTCTTGATTCTAAAATATTATAATTTTGTTCTTTTATGTCAAATTAGAGAAAAGTAATTGATGCACTTCTATTCTCTTTTGATGGTACAGAAAAATTCAAAAAGATTACTCCTCTCTTCCACTCCGCGCGTTCGCGTAGATCAATAATATCCAAAAGTAATGTTCCGACCCAATGGGATTTTGTGTATTTTATTGGTTTCTCGCGCGATTCCATTTCTATTTTGCATCGAAAGTCCTTCTCCTCTCTGCTTTCCGGTCATTCTCTCTCATTAAGCTCGTCTATGAACACCGAGAACCACGTCGAAAAGCTGCGGGCGTTGTGAATGGCTAACTGCCTCGCGTTAATTACCTTTTCGCTTTTTTTCCACCCATGATATAATCCGATCCGACTAGAGTTGTACGAGAAAACGGAAATGTCCATTTTAATTTTTGCGTTATTTTCTTCCATCTCTCAAAGTTTTTCAAATCTCTATGTGTCCTTTTCTACAATATCTCGTAAATCTCGTGTCTTTTACGAGAAATACACCATATTTTCCGTGCTTGCTCTTACTGGGATTTTTAAAAAGACGATATCTATTTTTGAACTATATTCCCCGTCAAGTGTTACACGTTTAAATTTTTCAAAATTTTCAAAATGATTTGTCTTTTACATGATTTACAGAGAATAAAAAAATCTCCAGTTCAGATTTGTCAAAAGAGCACCGTATATTTTAAAATAAGAAGTATTTATTAAATGATGTATTTACAACCTATCTTTATTTTTGACATTTTTCAAATTCATTTTAAAGTTGCAATTTTATTATATTATGTAAAAACAGAGACAAACTTCTTATTGAGAATATATTCTAATATGATGCAACATGCCATTTTAACATTTCTGATAAAAGATGCTGATATTATCTCAGTGTACCTTTATCGGTGATTTTTTGATATGTTCTCGGTGTTGATATGTCGCGCTTCACGTTACACGGCGGGATATCATTTAATTTCTTATACGATATTATCGGAAAATCACGCGATATGTGTTGAAATTTGACAAGATCAGTTTATGCGTTTTTGTAGTATCAAGAATTTCTGATTAAGTTGTATTTCGTTGTTTCTCCTTACTTCTACTAGCCGTCGAATTCGTCAAAACTATTTACTTCTTTTAGTTTGTACGAGATAGTTCTCGTAATTTAATCGCGTCGCATGATTTTCCTCCGTACAAGAAATACAATTGGCACTCGGAGTAATTGGGACGAGGATAGTGGATTATATGTGTGTCACGTAATGTTGCCACTTCCGTGAACTACTAACGGTCACGTCCCAGTCACGCTTTCTTTTCCCTTACACCTTGTCTTCTTCCCATAAGTAATTCATTTCGTCTCCTCTTCGCGGCGCGAGTTACACGAAGCTGCAAGTTCGTTACGTCAGTCTAATTGCGACTGTTCCATCCTTGCGACCGACCCTCTGAATTTCAAGTATTTTTTATCTTAAGCGATCTCTCGGGAATCTCTTAACGTTCTTCCAGCGACAATTGTCGTCTCCACACAAAGAATTTATTTGTTTTTTCCAGATTATGTGTGTGGGTTTTTGTCAGAATTCAGTCGAATCTTATACTTTTGGAACGAGGATTTCAATCAACTAGTACAGCTCGTATAGCTCATCGAAAATAGCTAGCGCGATCAAATATATATGAGAATCAATTTACGGGAATTCATAGAAAACGAGGACGTAATGAAAACTTTGAGAGCTTACTTCGTGATCTTTGCGCCGCGCCGCGCGTTGACTTGTACTCCTTACTCTCCGATTTCTCCGCACCTTCTTTCCGATTTTTTTTATTTTTGTCGCTTTTCGTGTTTCTTTGTGGAAAGTTAATGGCGTCTGGATTCGGCGCGGTTCATATAAAATTCCGTTACGCGAAAAGACGTTCCTTCCGATTAACATGTAATGAAACGCTGATGACTTTGAGTCGATGTTGGACGCCATCGATTCTCCCGTTCTTTATAAATAATCTCGACGTCGTCCTTGGACGTCTCCCCTTTCTGTTTTTCTTACCGTTCTCTTGCTTTTTTCGTTTGTGTTTAATTTTCTTTTCCCTTGAAACACGGCACCTCGTGGAATCGAGGCGCGACGAGCACTGCGTAACCGATTGACAGAAATCTTTTCTATCCGTGTAGGAAAAGGAGGACGGACCGGTGTACAAGTTTTACGAGACCATCCGCGATTTCGGGGACGACATCATGAACACCATCAGCTATCTGCGAGAGGTTACCCTCTTCGCTCCTAGCAACGAGGCGCTGGAGGAGCCGGGCGTGAAGCAGATGCTGCAGGACAAGAAACGCATCAGAGAGATCCTCAAGCTGCACTACGTCAAGCAGAAACTAACCCTCGACAATATTAAGGATAAGAGCGTCAGCCAAGTAAGTCTCATTTTCTTCTTTGCGTTTATATATACGATAATAAAATCAAAAACCGTGATACAAGTCGAGATTAATATTTGAAGTTACCTTTACATCCTATAATAGAGATGAAATATTATCATTGAAATATTGATTTAGCTTATGCCATTGTTATTTATAGGCTATAAGTATATATATAAGATAGATTACGATAATGACAATTTGTGTGCGTGTGTATATAAGATTCATCTGATATTGCATTTCGTATAAGTTTTAAATATCGATAAATCACTTCTTACATTTGAAGAGAATCTTTCTCCGGGTATTCTGCATGAAAACACGACATCAACGCAATCATTCACGTGGATATAAATTATTACATTGATTAACGCTTCCTTTCGTTTTTTTCAAAGACACCATTGACTGGGAAGTCAAACCTGGGGGTAATTATAGATTTATATTGCTTTCAGTGTTTTTTTTGCATAAATTGTTCGCAAAATCTTCTCCTTCTCTGTCTATCCATTTGCACTGTCCATTTGCACTGTCCGCTTTCATGCATTTTTCGATGTTGAGCGTATTACGAGTGCGAAACGAATGCGAGTTAACATTTCCAGCACTAACACGGCGCTCCAGGTATTTGGCAATCGATAGCGTCAATAAATCTCGTCTCGCCAATAGCTTTAGTAATCGAACGCCCAAAGAGATTTCTATTCTTGCCGCGATACACGATATACGAGGTGATCGAAAAGTCACGTATTAAAATTTCACAAACGGGATTTGACGTTGGAGGATGTGAATTATTTTATTTCGTAATGCCGTATATATTTTTGAAACTTCCTATCGTTCGGGGTATCTCGATAGAGCGAATTATAAATGTACGCGGATATCGCTGTTGATATTCAACGCGGCTGACTTTTCCGTCACTCCGTACACCGGGAATCGTACGAATGAAATTGTGGGAAGGTTCGACAGCCTCGTGGAATGGATTTCTGCCGTTTCGTCGGCAACACGATGTAACGATAATTGCGTATTTTTGCGAGAAGCCGCGGAGTTTCCCTCGAGCGAGAAGATGACGAGGACGAACGAAAGCGAGCTCACCTGGGCGCGGGCGATAAGGAAACTCGGCTTTCTCGGATTAAGTGGATTGGAAGATAAAAAGTTCCGCGGGATAGAGTAGGAGACGCCTGACGTCATAACAGCGCGCCGGGGCTGTTCCGCTCTTAAACTTTGCTCAAAGTCGACCGGCATCGCCGGTTCGTTTTCGCACTTTTCGAGACTCATTATCATCCAATCAGCATGGCGGAACTTTTCGTCGGAATAACAAAAAACTCTCGGCAATTTTCCGCCGCGGCTCTTTTTCTCGTCCTCTTTCCCGCGCATTTCCCGTCGCTTATTTTTACAGCGTTTTCACTCGAAGGGTGAAATTGCAAATGTAGACTTTCTTTATTCGAGATTATATATTTATATATGTATTATATATGTATATTTGTATTCTCGCGATCGAGTACATCGTTAATTATTTATCTCGCAAGTTGATGAATTTTTCGACCAGTTGTCGTCGTTCCCTTCACACCAACATTTTACAGATGAGATCGCAATATACAATGCCGTTATCCTCTCTATCAATCATACTCGTCATTTTCCACGCGGTCGAGAACGTCTCGTTAATGCACGCGAGAACTCAATTACGACAAGAAACCGGCAAATATCGTAATCGCGAAGCGCCGAGAAAATCAACAGAGTGACGGCATAATCGCTCACGCGCATCACTTTTCACCGACGCGCGCGATTTATTATATTAATCTTACCGTTATTAATGCGACATCCATATCGCGTTCGATGTTCGCGCTTAATGGCAAAATATCCGTCAAGTCAGATACAAGATACGAGCGCGTGAAGCAAAAAAGGAACATGCACACACGTGGCACGTGCTTCCTGCGGTACGCAATAATTTATGAAGTGCGCGAGAAAAAGAAGGGCACGCTGGAATTATTCTCGCGCAAAATCAATAAATTTCTTCCTGAAACGTTCTCGACATGGATATGAGTTTATTGGCTTTGCAACATTGTTTGCACAGATTTGCCCCTACGTTATCTATACGTACTGTCGAATTTATAGGATGCCACCGATACGACACGTCTCGCAAATCCGCGGTGAAAAATCATACCCGGCCGATCGCGCTTCGCGGGATCGCGAAAAAACAAGAGATGAAACACAAGTAGGGAGAGAATTCCGAGCAAATCGCGTCACGTAAATGCTCGGTCGGAAAATACGCCGACGTGCCATGGAAATTTCGCCGCGTTATCTCGATTGCAATTTTCAAACAAACGAATGTAATATCGGATATATTAATCCACGCTGCTAATATTTATGCGATACAGGTAAAAGAGGGAGAGACAGTTCTGACTGAATTAAAAGCAGCTTTTAATTTTTTAATCGAAATTTTTCTTAAAAAGATTATCTCCGAATTAATCAAAAAACTTATTACGAAGATCAATTAAATATAATTAAATTCATCGAAGCTTTCCGTATATCTCGTAAAGATGTCTTATAACAAATATTCTCGTAGAAAATGTTATTTTTGTATTTTTCAAAGATATTTTAACTCCGATTTTATTTTTACTATAATTGTAATATTTTTTCTCACAAAAAAATGAGAACCAAAACTGTGTGTGTGTGCGAAACAGAATAATCGAGTATCATCGGGCAATAAAATTTCTTATTCTGCGAAACGTGAAAACTGCTTAATATCCTGCGGGAAAACTCGTAAAGCGAAAGAAATGTAAAGCAGCAATACGTCCCGCGCTTTCCGGCGATGCCTGAGGTCCTAGCTTTCTCACCGACACGGGATATATCCTACATATCTTCGCGATTGTCTACGGTATCCGTATAGCCGGTTGCATTTCCGATATAATATGTATTATTTCGAAACTCTCGCGTGCGCGAAACGCCGCGCTTTTCGCAGTTAAGTTTCCGGAACTTGCATCCAGGTGGTCGTGGGAATTTGATTTCGAACTGCATAAACTTTATGACGAGAAAATATCCTTTTCCAGAAAGAAAACGTTACACGATCGAGCGCTCGGTCTCTCGCAATTTAATTCGTTTCTCCATTCCCTGACTTAAGATAATAATGAATATTAACCGCGTTCACGAATCGTACGAATCTATGGGACGAAGTTCGCATTGCGTCCGAACAATGCGATGAAATATTCGCGACAAAAATTCTTCGAAATTTTTTGACGGATCTAATAAAAAAAAGAACAAAATAAAACCGTTCATGTTAAAATCAAAGACAGAATCGCGTGAACATTTTTTTAGAAATACGGCAGTTTGTAATCACCGGAATGATGGCAGCATCAAGTTTGCGGATATCGAATCCTCATTGGAGGTGAACGATCGCGAAAAGAGCGTTTTCAGAGCGGTAACGCGCGCACATTAATTTCCTCGTCAAGTTGGATTCGCGGGAAAGCAACGCGCAAACTTACGAGTTTGATGATGGTTGAAGAGAGAAATAAAGACATCGCCGATATTAATAATTATAAGCGTAACGAGACTACATAAATCTATGACGTTATCTAGCGCGCTACAACTCGTCGGTATCTCGCTCGCACGTCGATCTACATCGAGTCCCGATGAACGCAATTACGCGAAATCTCCGATACAGCTAATTACACTTCAATATCCATCGAGCCGCTTCAATCATTCAGCAGCGTCGATATGGTATGTTGGCTTTAATTACTCTGCCCGCTCTTTAATAAATTAACGTTCGATCAGTATAAATAAACATTCAGCCGGACGTATGAAAGCGATGAGAGGACGATGGTGGTTGTAAAGTCAACGAGATCGTTTCAATCATTCGATTTACTGCAACCTGAACTGCTATATCAGAACGGTCGAGAAGTTACAGAAGTGTTTCGGTCTTTTTTCTTATCAAATCCGTTATCAAATTCGTCGGAAAAAATGAGAAACGACGGGACGATTCGATTTAACATTATTGCGACGCCATCATGGTACGAGCAGGTCGCGATAGGTCGAGGTGTTATCAATTAATTTACGAATGGATTATCATAAAAGCGCAACGAACAGGTGCGCTAATATCGATTCGCTAATTGCTGGTAGTTATGGCGATTCGATCGGCAATATCGGCTGTTATTTACTGCGCGCACGCTGTACGAACGTGCGTGGACCAATATTGACTCTGCTTGTGCCTCATGCAGTACGAAGCGCGGTGTATATATTAATCACGGTAAACAAAGGGTAAATCGCCCTTAATCGGAAACAACGTAGTTTCTGCGCGGCGTGACATTTTCGCATGGCCGCCGCTGCGTGACCGATCGTTGATTAGGATGTTTCAGAGCCTTGGCCAGTGTGTTGTATTATGCCAATTCTGCCGGCGAATCCGCTTTCCGCCAGTCATCCGAACTAAACGATTAGAATCCGAGTAACAATTATAAAATATAGATTGATTTAGAATGTCTCTCGACATGCTAACACGAAGATAATAATTTCGGATTAGCTGATTAGCTTTTGATGTTTCACGTTTCAACTAAATAGAGATACCTTGATTTTTACTTTATATTTCTACGAACGACCGTTTGAGATTATAAAACATAAATATTTAAAAGTACATTCGCTTGATACTCGTGAAAGAAAAGTGCTCTCTTGTATAAGGTATTGTATAAAGGGAGGTCTGAACATTTATGGAGAAAATTTCGATTGTGCGTAATGCTGAATTAATTTTTAATAATGCTCTTCTGCAACGAGATAAACATATTATTATATCAATAAATAAGTTGTTTAAATATAATTATCGCATATAAAGTTCAGTGCTTCTGCATTTTACGCGAAAATTGTCACACAATTTTCGTAGAACTACTACTCCCTTACTCCACGACATTGTATCCAATTTTATCCATTTCACATGTAATGAAACTTCCCACAATAGTTGTTAGTCTTTTTTAAAAAAGATGCCAACCTTCACACAATATTGCCAAGCTACAAAAGCGTTGAGGTCTACCACATACGTCGCGAAACGCGTCCCTAGCTACCTTATTAATCTCTCATGCCGTCCGCTTCTGCCGCAAGAAACAAAGAATATCTGATTTTTTTTCTTCATTCACGTTTGATTCTTTTTTTCCTTCACTCGCAACAAGACCAATTTGCATTAAGCTGCGCGCGCGTCAGGGTCGAAAGAGAAAATAATTAATAACCCCTGTCCGAGGATATGATAAGCAAACAACCCCTCGTGAAAAAAAAATATGCCGTGCATCAACTCACGCACGACACGATGCGTTCTACGCGCCAGACATATGCGCGTTTCTTTCTGTATGCCGTGAATGCCGTCCTGTTTTTCTTTTATCCGCTCTGATTTGCATTAAGCACCGCATGCGCCAGTGCGCCCGCGCGCACTAATTTATCGTCGAGATATGTTTTACACCGCTTTCATGCTTTATGACCCCGCGGCGCCTAGGCGTGCGCGTCTCGAAAGAGCGACTCTCTCATGTACGCTGATGAAATGATAAAGCGCTCCCGGAAGAGAAGGCGCCGCGACGTAAAATTCAATTTTATTCGCGATCGCTCTGCGAATTTACTTTCTCCTTTCTGTATTTTAGGCATGCGTTATTTAAAGCGTTGAGTTCGAATATCGCCTCGCCTTGATGCATATTCTTATTTGGAATATTGATTTAAGATTCAAATATCATTTCGGTGTCCATAACCGAATATTTGATTGAAAAATCATTAGTCAGACTTTTCTGGATCTATACATGTTTTACATTTTTCTGTTATTTAATTCTCAGAAATTCTCGATTTAATTTCGTATTTAACTTGTACGATCACGAAATGTTTTAATTAAAACGCAGTCTTTGGTAAATAAAATTTAATATAATGACTTTCCGACTCTTTCGGTTATTAATGAAATACGTGTACAAATACGCGGATTTCAGAGTGAATCCAAAAAGACAGATAAATCAATTTCAATCTCTTTCTCCTCTCGCGCGTTTACTTTTCTTTTCTGTTTCAGTAGCGTGATTTATTCCGTTACGACCTGTATTCCTAATTAATTTATTCAACATCATTCCTCGCGCAAATAAAAGTCCCAACGGCGATGTGACTTTACGCGCGGCTAATTGATAACTGCAAGCGTCGAAAGAGTAGGCCACGAATAAGAAATTAATTGCATGAACATATCGGGAATAATGAGCGCTTATCAAAAAGGCAATCGCGAAATACTTGAAAGTCCCTTTCTTATCTCTCATAAAATTAAAAGTATTTCACTTTAAAAAGCTGTAAGCAGATTACAACTTTAAATTAGTCTCACGGAAAACGAAATATTTCATTTATTCGTGGTATTTTTTTTTGCTAAAACAACGAGATAAATTTATAAAAGAAATTTTAATATATATTATATATTCAACAGGATCGAAATAAACCAACAGAATTTTTAGAATGAAGGAATAACATTTCTTACTTTGATTATATCTTTACTTAGATTTATCTTTGTCAGAATTTTAAAATTTTCTACCGATTAATCTAAAGTTGCAAGAATGATAATAAATAAGAACTCGATACAGAACACAGGCTCTGAAGAGCTTTTCTAGATTTCTCTCCGAGAAGAACTACTCCGAATCTCGGTTTTACATTTCAATTTAAAGCAAAACCGACCTCAAATAGCTCCGAAAATATACCCCCGATATCTTTTTTGAGACACCACGTACACATTTTCTCAGCCTCTGCGCTCGGAGAATCTCGGGCGCGCGGATAAACGTCAAGAAAGTAACCGGAAGTGACTCTGAGTGCACACCGGGAAATTCATGAGAGCTGGATCAGCCGGAAAGGGGATCGTTGCCTCTTGGCGTTCTCTATGCCGAGCTTTCCGTCCCGACATCGATGACGGAGAAAGAAAGAGACGGGGGGGGGGGGGGGGGGGGGGGTGACGGATGGAGAGCGCCAATTTGCAATCCGGACGATATTTGCAAGTTAAAAGCTCGCGCACTGCCGAGAACGACTACGTACGCCGCATCGTCCGGATAATCCGGCGGATCGAAGGGATTCGTTTCACTCCGCTATCGCACCCTGACATGACTGTCTCTCGAGATCAAATTTCGCGTCCGTCGATAAGAAAGCAGATCGCGCACTCGAAAACGCGTTCCGAAACGCTCCGGGTTTGCAATTACGCCATTTTCTTCCGGAGATTGTCGCCGCTGATGGCTTCCCTTTGATGTAATCGCGAAATAATCGATACGCTATTGTTAAGGATGGAGTCTCTGTCATTTTTCATACCAGTCTTAAAAACGACCATATAATTCGATGATTCGATTTTGATTCCTTATGATAACTACGTCGAATTATTTTATTGAGATAACATGATTAAAATATCAGGGACGCAATTTGCGTCTTAATAACAACAGCGTGAAGAGAGTTAGACTCGTCGAATTTTTTGCGGACTTTAGTGAGATTGATATATTTGATATTTATTGATGTGTGTTTAATGTATGTTGTGTACTTGCGATGGCGTGCACGCACAATCGTAACTCTGTGCGAAACTTATATCTAACTGCCTAACGTCGAAACTTTGCTTCCTCGTTCCACTCTTGTGCATGTGTATATGTGCGGGAAATTCTCAAGCACGGAAACGCAAATAACTTTTAATTCCTCGTCTTTTCTCCGACTACGACTGCGACAAGTATATGTACACGATTGCTCCTGTATTTGTGCACGAAATCAACTTATGCCAATTCTCCGAAGGCGATCTCGCGTTCCTTGTTCGCTCGATTCTTTGAATATTTTCCAAATTTCAAGAAATTTCTATCAAGTATTTTCCTCCAAATTATATACAAATTATCGAATTTTATAAATCATAATCTCGAACAGATTTGACACGTTTTAAGAAAATTCATTGACAAATTCGAAGAATGTGCTTTCAAATGCCTTCGAAGAATGGGACTCGTTTGTCGAAGCCCTTCGCATCTTTTCTGTGCGTTCTTCTTATTCAGAAGCTCGTTCTTTACTCGTCTTCCCTCTTGTCTTCTGGTTGCATTTGCGCAGCAGTTTCAACGTGTAATGTAATCCTTTGAAAGCAGCGCACGTGACTCCGGCGGTTAACGCGAGTCACGCGTCGCAAGCATTCCCTCACAGAGCTTCCGCACGAATTCTTGCAGGTAGCGACCGCCGCCGACAGGAAGAAGCTCTACTTCAACGTGGTGCAAGGCCCGAGGGGAAACCAGACCGTCACCGTGGAAGGCGGCGGCGTGAACGCTACCATCATTACTGCCAACATCGCCGCAACCAACGGGATTATTCACATAATCGACAGGTTGCTCGGGGTCCCCTACACCACCGTACTCGATAAACTCAGGACCGACCCGATGCTCAAGTAAGTCTTCCTCCCCCTCTCCTTCATCTTTATTCATCTTTATGTTAAGCGACTTGGATCATCGACTCTCGTCTTATCTCGAACATTGAAGCGTTAGTTGTATTAAATGAAAAAAGAAGACGAAAAAAATATCTATCATATGCATTTTGATATCTGAGATCAAATTTTAATTTTATTTATGAATCACCTTCTCTCTCTTTCTCTCATTACGTTTAAGTATTTAATTTTATGTACATTCTAGTAACATGAATAGAAAAATTATGTAAATCGTTACACCTCAGTTTCTAAAATTTCTAAAATTCGCACGACGAAGTGATATACTGAACGATTAATTTTTTACGAGATAAGTATCTCTATCTTTCGCAAGTGTCTCTATCTTCGATAATTACAAGAGGATAGCGTTCGTATAAGCGTCTACCTATACGAACTCCCACTCGAATGTAGATACGATCTTCACACGGGATATCACCACCGCTGCTACCACCGCCTTATCCATTCCTGAAAGAAAATCTTATCATCGCTCTCCTCCCGTTCGAATTTAATTAAAATAACGCAACAAATCTCCATTCCAATTACCGCGAACCCATCGGCTCGACGGTATCGTCGACGTAAAAACTATAATCGTGGAGAGTCTTACGCCCGGAATTGCATAGTTCCACAGGGCACCACGTCCGACCTATTAAATTCGTAACCGGGCCCTCCGTCCCCGCCTGCCGCGCGCCAATATTGCCTCCTTGTCCAATTTAACGACCAGCACTCGAAGCGCCATGCAAAAAGCAAATAAACTCACTCGGCGAAATTACCGGCCTGGAACATATCGGGTTCTTCGTATTTTCCGCTACATCCAGACCTATCCCGTTTAATATTATACCAGATGATCGAGAGAATCCAAGATCCAAAAGGAAGCCGAATATTCAGAGATCTCCCGGTGGCGCCGGGACTCCAGGGAATGATTAGTTTAAGGAAACGCCAAGCATCGGCGAAGAATCGACGCTGAATTTTATATTAGAAATCTAAAAAGATATAAGAATTCAAAAATGTTAAAGAGTCATACAATTTTTAAATATTCGTAAACGAGAGATTTCAAGATTCACGCGGATTGCGTTTAACGACCAACAGATTTAAGGAGTGCTGATGACCTGAGCACTGCGGGATCCTAGGATTTACGAAGTCCGAGTTGCAACAACGGAGAACCGAGGATCTTCTCTCTCCGGGAGAAGATTGTATATGCATGTTGATCCAAATAGCTGGCCAACAATCGTGCTCCGTCATACCGTCGGCAGCTTTCCGCGCGAAGAAAGCGTTGTGTGGATTATCTCCTAATTTAAAATTATAATTGATATCCGCGGAAGAGACGGTGCATTCTCCGCAGGTAGACGAGAGCGAGGTCGGCAGCTTTACAAAGAGCGGAGCAAGAGAGAGAGAGAGAGAGAGAGAAAGAGAGAGAGAGAGAGAACGCGAGAGAGATCAAGGACCGGGTAGTAGAGAGCGGATTAATCCCGTAAGAGGCAGCGCGCGAAGGTGAGCTCTGGAAAGCGGATAGAGTAAACATCACGATGTTACCGCGGTCTACTCGCAAATCCCCAGCCTCGGAAAAATTTCCCCGGTGCTTATAACCCGCACGATTCAATTAAACCGATTTAAGCAACGCGGATGAGAGGCATTATGACGTTATTTACCGTCTCTAAAATCGTCTTGCGATTCTTCTCGAGTTATCAGCGTGAAATTAATCGTCGAACGTTTTTTCCCTTTGTTTTTTTTTTCAGCTCGACGTACTTTCTGGGCCAGCGACGCAGCTTCAACGATCAGCTGAACGACACGACGAAGCGGTTTACGTACTTTGCCCCGCACGACGATGCCTGGATCCGCGCGGGGGCCACTTTTCCGTCAGCCGTCAAGAAACTCTTCATGCCCGAATATAGTTATCACGTGAGTAATCTTCCTAAGTGCACATGTCGCGTAGATTTCATATTCAAATTTGCTCCCATCGTACAGAGGCCTTCGTTATCTTATCCTCGAATCTTTAAATTTTTTAATGACCGTACCTTTGCATTTTTTAAGTCTTTAAATTCATAAACTCTTAAGTACTACGAATACGCGAGCGCAAAGAGTTACTTACTAAAAAAAAAAAAAAATTACATCCCGCTGCGTTTAATCATAAAAATGTATAACTCATTTACAGACGAAGCAGATCTTGGAGCGGCACCTCGTAATAGCGGACCAGGCGTATACGATGGCGAAGTTGAGAGAGATGAGCAACGACACCATCAAGCTTACGACGATCAGGGACAGTCTGAAGATTCGCATTAAGGAGTACGGCGAAAGTGAGTAGTTTTATTTCGTAACGTACACACGTAACCAGCGCATACTTGTACTTGTGCACAGAATATATATATATATATATATATATATATATATATATATATATATATATATATATATATATATATATATATATATATATATACCTTATACGTCACCTCAAGGTGTCGGTCGTCTGACGCGTAAATTTTCCTTCGTCTGACGCGCGCGAGATCTCTCATTCGAGAATTCGTAAACTAGACGTGTGTAAATTCGCCAAGTACACATGCATTAGGGAAAGTTTCCCCGTCGACGAACGCGCGCGTTCCCCGGGCGACGAAACGCCCGCTTGAACGTTAACGCTCTATCGAGATCGACTGTCGCGTCTGCCACGTGATTGTTCTCGTCGTCGCGGAACCGTCGTCACGTCACATTACCACCTGTCACCGACACTCTCAAATCTGGTTGCTGTCTGATTACATGTAGATGAGAAGTACGACGAAAACGCAATCCGTCCAGAAACATCCGGTGAGTTGAGTTAAGTGTCTTTAAACGTCGTCGATGACACGAGCGCTTTCACTTTGTACGAGCAAGCACTTACTGAGTGTGAAGGAGCGCACCCCTTTATTACGCACCGCGTTACACACTCGCGCGTACATGTTGTGCGTTTTGTTACGCGTATGCGTGTGTGCGCGAGAGGACGAAACTACGTGCGTAACTCACTCCGGCGAAGTTCGCTTTTAATCTTGTCGGATCCTTGAACTCTGCTCTCTTAAACTGAATCAGTGAAAATATCACCGATTCAAGCAACGACGAAATTTCTCCGAATATTTTACTGATTTTCAGTGAAAAAACTCACAGTTTGCTCCGACGTTTTACGTTTTACTGACTATGACAGTAAAATTTCACTGACTGATTTTTATCAATGAGGATTCATTGTTTTTAGTATTATATTTATAACTAAAACCACTTCTTATCAGTGATAATCTGATAATACACTGATTCCATTTAAGAGAGTGAAATGCGTGAATGTCTAAGCACGTGTGTCGCGAAATTTCTGAGAATATTTTTGAATCCTTGTATCCTTGATATTTAAATTTGATGATTTATATTTTTGTTTTTTATTAAAAATTTCCAAGGATCATTACACGGTACCTTGTAAGAATCTCGAAGATATAGGAAGATCCCTAGATCCTTGGATTCCAAACTGCCAAACTCGCTAAACCCTCGAATCGTTAGATCCTTGGATGCTGCAACGTTCTGATTTAGCTTATGAGTGATCGTATCGCCAAGCTTACGCTTACGCTGACGTACGATTTTTCAGTGCTTTACGCTATGCTTACGTATACGAAAAGGATCTGACGTGGGGGAGGCGAAGATGCTTCGTCGATAAAATTCGAACTTCGCACGGCGCGAGATTGCATAGACCTCGTTCGCACTGCGATTAGCGACAAGCTATGAGCCGTCGATGCTTGGTTTAATTATTTCGATTTATTATTTGAATTATATTGCATCGCAGTCACTTTGCGCAGACGTTCTCAAACTATGCGTCGCAAGTTTCTATCCGAGAACTCGCTCTTATTACTTCCAACGTTTGAGAGCATCTGCTTCACAGCATTCCACGATCGAACTCGCTATTAAATAACATAAGAGTGCGCGCGCGAATATACAATGAACGGTCCGCGAAAAAGAGAGATTTTCACTCCGATTTTCACGTTCAATTAAAACACGGATTCGATCCTATAGTACGCGTTTACGCCTGTGGGCGACAATTTTCGTTATAGTTGCAGCTGGCACTCCCGGGGATTTTAGCGCGAGGTCAAAAGTCACCGAATCGAGAGAAAGAGAAGGAGAGAGAGAGAGAGAGAGAGAGAGAAAAAGAAGGCGACATGAAAGAGAGCGAGGTGAAACGAAACGCGCGCTACGCGAGAAACAAAAGCGTATTAATTGCGGCGAGGGCAACAATACTCATTGTGAACGGTGGAATTAATTACGACGAGGAGTACGCTCATTGTTGCGCGTAAATTAATTGCTACAACAACGGCAATAGGATATCATTACCTTTGTCGCGGGGAGAATGAGGAGAACCACCCTTCTCGTCGGTTTCGCGATTTCTATTTATTGCGCACCGAGAGACAACCGCAAACGTGTTCGCGCAAATGTATGGAATAAGGATGTCACTCTTTTCGTCCGCAAAGAACATGCAAATGCAGCATCTTAAGGGAGAAAGAGAGAGACGTTCTCCGATAACGCTTACACTTTCCGCTTACACTTTCCTTTAATTTGAGATGCCAATTATTTTACAATACGAAGAAACGATTTGATAGGTTTTCGATCATACAGAGATTTTAATGCCTAATTGTGCTTTATATGTTAAACTGTGAAAAGCCAGCTGTTCATTATCGTATTAACACCGGAATAATCGATGTAGTAATTTGTTATGTCGGTCGATAGCGAAGTGTAAATAACGCTCGTTAATATTAATGAGTCCATTAAATAAATGGTACGGTTTGCACTATTTCAACAAATGAAAATATAATTTTAACGCAATATTTCGTTTGATTTGATTTGAAAATTGTTGAGGCAGCAACTAACTTGTATCGAGTCTCCACTACTCGGCTACTTTTCACGTAAAGAGGGACGTGTATTGACTACGGAAAGGATTTCGTTTCCGGACTGCTGCGAAGTGCAACGTCCACTTCCGCACAAAGTCCAGAAAATTCTCGCGTGTGTGCAGACCCTCATAAACAGAGTCCTTTTCACCGCGTTCCGATGCGGAACATGACGAATACCTGCGTCTGTACGGAATTTTTCACGTTGTCGGGAACGAGTCGATGCGATTTTGTCGGTGCAAAACTTTCCGCGACAATAATGTCGCGGAGGATCGACGATCTTGGCGTTGGACGCGAAAACCGGAAACGAACACGCGTGCTATTATGGGTCGGAACCGTCGAGCGATTTATTATGCACCTTTCGACCATTTAAATGCAAATTCCTTGATTATCCCCGGCGCTAATTGCTACGTGCCCATCCGGTCATTCGCTCTCGCCTATGAACGAATTTCCGAAACATTTCCCCCGAAACTCGCCGCTTTAACTCTGCTCCGTTTTACGATTCTGCGCGAGAGATTTGACGAGGATCACACGAGCGAGAAAAAGATTAAGTTAAAGTCAAGTTAAAGTTCAGTAGACGACTTCGTTAATCAAAAGGAAAAGATGCATGAGTAATTTGAAAGAAAGCGGCGTTAGAATCACAAACTTTACCTCGAATCGAAAATTTTCTCCTACTTTCGATCTCAAGTTTCAATCTAACATCTAGTTTGATACTTTTTAAGCAGTAAAATTATATTTTTTTAAAACTATTTCATATAGTTTTATCGAAAGCACTCCTTTTACATTTTTAAGTGAGAAACTATCGGTTTACTGTTTATTTGAAATATAATGTCAATTTTCTTGTGTAAATTAACCTTGCCAAAATCTTTTAGAATATATAAACGTGAAAAAATTTGAAATTAAAAATAGCAGCAAAATTTCGACTCGTAACTCCTGCATCGTTGAATTTAATGATAACGATGTGCGAAATGAAAATTTTCATTACAGTTTTACGACACCGTTGTGTGTCCGTCTCTCATTATTAGATACTATTGCTATGTTTAGTTTTTCAAATATTATTAGATCGTTGAGATTCTTCAGACTCTTTTCAATTTTATAATCCATAAATATTTATTCCTTTAGCATCTCACGACATTATCTTAGGATTTGTACAGAATTGTATCCATCCATCCTCATGTTGTTAATTCGAGATCTGACGATCCCCCGGGGCGATCGTCGGGTCGAGAGAGCTTTGCATTTTGCATCGCAGTACGCTTTCAGTTACTCACAATTCCCCCTCATCCTGTACTAGCCCCCAGCATCCAGGTCTAGAGATCATTGTCAATCTCTCTTTCGCTCTTTGTTTCTTTCCAGGCTACCAGTTGGAGTGGCAGGGTAACAAGAAAATCCGCGTCGTGCGTCCAGACGTTGAGTGCACCAACGGGATAATCCACGTGATCGACACCGTCTTTCTCAAGGATAGCGACGTGCGGGTAACGGGCGGAGCGTCGCTGGCCACTCTCGCGCCTCACCTCATCATGATATTGATAGCCAAGTGGCAGTTGTAAGCAACCTGATCGCGTCGCATCGTCTCGCATCTATGCAGGTGCGTCTATTAGGAATTTCCTTGGGGCCGTCTACGATCGTTCTCGCGCGAGAAGCGGCGCCGTCGACGACGCAACGCGAGAAGGCGCACGGTCGATCGTCCTGACGTTGGATCGCAACTTCTTACGGACGCTCGTTACGGAGTGGACTAGGCGAGAAGCGGGGAAGGGTAGAGGGGGGGGGGGAATGGGGAGAGTTACATGAATCTGAAGATCCGGAGACCCGAGAATCCGCGATATCAAAGATCCAGGGACCTAACGAGCCGAGGACAGCGGCGAGGATCGGAGGATACGCGAAGATTCAAGGGGGTCCAGAGATATGCGGATTCGTTCGCGTACACGTGGCTCGTTGATGAGAGAGAAAGACACGAAAGAAGAGGAAGACGTTCGATATATCGTGTCGATTGCACGAAGAACGAGAGGGGCTCTCATCGAGGGAACGACGGGAGGACGACCGAGCACTCGCGATCGCACGGCCTCAAAAAAAGCCAGGATAGCCTATTATTTATTGATTAATCGTCCGTGGACGTAGCGGGACAATTTTACGGGTTAGAAGCGTTAATCGTACCAAATAAATGGTTAATTGTACCAAGTAATCTAAATAAATTTATCGAGGGACGGAAGGGCGTGAGAGAAGAAAAATGGGCAGGGAGAGAGGTGCAGGATTTCGAGGAACCTACTTCGAGTACAAGGGCAACGACGGATTGCATCCCGTACATCATGCGACTGTTAGCGAGCGAACGAGTGGACGCGTGAGGTGCAAATAAAATCGCGGTTTGACCATCGATCGCCACTCTGTCTATTGTTATTTGAATCGGGAAATGGTTTTAAAATATTTATCCTTCTCTTCCATTATATAAACCAATTTAAACCAAATTTAAATCAATCGAATAATCGATCGATTGGTAATTACGCGATTTAATTTTGACCTCATACGTTGTTCTGTAGAGCCACAATAAGAACTTAATAATACATCAGAAAGTTCCACATAACATTGAGAACAAGACTTCGCGATTCCTTCGCGGAATCCTACGATTTTATACGACACTAATCGTAAACGTAAAATACGATAATCCTTTCCCTCTAAAGCGACGACAGTAATAAAGTCAAACGCAATAATATCGATCGTCCTTTTCGATTAACGGCGGCAATAAAACCGAACGGGCAATTACCAATTCGATTAATTAGCAGAGCGATTGAGTAAGCGCTTTCGGAACAACAGATCCATCCATCGGATCTTCCCGTCTCGAAATTCGAACCGATTTCAGGATTCTCCTTGGATCTCCAGAATTTGGATCGTTGGGTTCTGTCGGATCTCAAGATGCCCGCGGATTTTTCTGAAATTATCTAGTCCGTAAATTCTCGGTTTTTTAGCTTTTCAGGATCGCGGATTCTTGGATGCTTGTAGATCCCACAGACTTCCGAACTTCTTCGGATTCTCGGAAATCGGTCGATTATAAATAATTGTCGCGTCGCCGCTGTATTGATTCGCGGTGCCTCTGATGAAATTGAATCGACACCGACGTATCTCGGGGTAAATGTTTACCCCGTTTACATAACATCGTTCCCTTCGAGATACCGTGTTCTTGACCTTTCGTCATTCCGCGTAAAGGGTTCACGGTACATCGCTATGTATCATATCGTATTTACACTTCTACTTACCGAGAATACTGCCACGCACGTTGCGCGCATCGCGGGCTTGCGGATGAGTTTTTGTACGATTATTATTATCAAAGATAGAGCGAAGGGGAAAAGAGACAAGAGGGAGCGGTAGAGAATTCTATCTTAAAAGCACAGCGATTCCTGACAAAAAAAAGGTGTCTCGTGTGTTAAAAAATTAAAAAAAAAAAAAAAAAAAAAAAAAAAAAATAAGGTATCTTGAATGACGGATGCGCGAGGGCAGAAAAAGAGAGAAATTTCTTTGGCTTTCCTTAAATCTTATAAGTTCTTGTAAAAATTATTTGAAAATACTTTATGGTGTTTTCTAGAGTTGAAGAAATTTTTAAAGAAATTAATAGGAAAATACATTCTGTAAAATAAAAAGCAGCCAATTTATTACAATTAAAGAAATAAATTATTTTATTCCGCATTTAGAAAAACTAAAAAGAGAATAACAATGAATAGGAAAAAAGTCAAAGAGGGATATCGTTCAATTAATCCTGACGTTATATAAAGACAATTCATAACTCTCTACAGAATGAGTTCCTATCCATTTCGCTTGATTCGCCTATTTTTGACGGGAACGGGAAGACATTCCGTGACCATATCTACTTTCAGTGCCACGAGTTCTATCGTTCCATCGTAATAACTATATCCCGATGAACTTTCTGCTCCCTCGACATCCATGCTCATTGCATTATATACACACAAACACACCCACATACATACACACACACTCACACACATACATACATACCCTGTCTGTCAAAATAGCAAAGTTACTATTAAGACCTTAGCTGTATGCGTGCAAGCAATAGCGAGGATCCGTCTCGAAAGAAAACTTCGAAGAACGCGGCCAAGAAGAAACTGGTATAGACTTAGAAACGAAAATCAAATGATATCCGAATCGACAGGGAACCCTTTCGCTGCACGAAATATTCTAGCCAAAGTTCCTGCGAAGGAAAAGTAAGTGAATACTTTCGAAACTTTTCACAGACGTGACAGACATATTAATCTTTGACGGTGCAAATATTTCCACGATACGTGTATTGTAATCGTGACGCGCTATGTGAGGATTGATCCTTGAATTATTAAATTTTTAAACATTCTTTGTATCCTGAATTCAAAAAGACACGAAAGAAGCAAAACTTTATTCGTCAATTAATCGGACATTCTCTTAACGAATATTCAGAACAAGCTTATCTATCGAAGAATTGAATATTAAAGGATATTGAATATTAAAGAACAAACGGAGATTCCCAATTAGTTTCTTCGCTAACGAAAAATCGATTTCACATTCTTTCGCGAATAAAGTCTCGCAAGCGTACGCTTTCTTCGCAGCGAAGGGGTTAAAGAAAAAAGGAAACAAGTACTTGGCAAGGAACAGTTCGAAGCTCGAAGGAGGGTAAAACCTCGAAATTTCGTGCCCTCCTTAAAGACGAAGCGTCAAGAAGCGCAGGATAGTTCACGTTCAACTGATAAAACGCCGAAACCTAAATGAAAGACAATTGACTGATTGGATCGGTCGTTGAATTTCGCAACACGATCCGGTGACTTGTTCGCGTTAGTCACGTATAAAAAAAGAATTTGTAATTAGCGGGCGTGCGTAATCGAAGCAGCCACAACTTTCTTCACGAGAACTTGATTTAACAAAAATAAAAAAAGGTCGATGTTATACGTGTTGATATCAGTCTATACATATATATATAAAGCAAACAAATAAAGATATATATAATAAACAGAGATATATATTAATGCGGAAGAAAGTATCGATTAAAGAAGAGCGAATCGGGAAAAGGCTGGTAAGAGAGAGAAAGGGAGAGAAAAAAACAAAATACACTATCAGATGATAACTTAAACTTGTTGTTGGGATGAATTGATATTACGAATTATTATTACTATTATTATTATTATTACAATTATTACCTATATAAAATATACATAAACTCTAATTAAAACTGTTTGCTCGTTAGATGAACCAAAAAAAAAAAGAAAAAATAGCAAAACTCTATTTCTCCGTGTAGATGTGTCTTAATGTTCAGCTTGTTCGACAGCCACGCAGTCGACATAAGAGAGCTGAGGTTTCGAGGCTGCCATAGGTCGAAAAGGGGATGTTCGAGTCGGTATGCGGGAGACGAGAGATTAAATGCCACGTGAGACTTAAATTTTCACGCTCGTGAACGTTATACGGGAAAAGGACGCACAGGCCGCCGGTGATGTTACTAATAATGTTGCAAAAAAGACTAGAAATTATTGAGTGGACAATCGTTCGTCATCCCCGACAAATCAGAGACGCGTTCATAGAGAATCTCATCGTACATCGTACATCGCTATTAAAGAATCTCGCGTTTTCAAAGCGCTACTCTGAAAATTTGAATCGTTTCTCTCGTCTCGATTCACCGCCGATGGCGATCGATCGATCTTACGAAAGAAAAAAAAAAAGAAGAAATTATGTGAAAGTACAATTATGATTTCCAATTCGCAAATGAAGCTATAGCGAACAGATACAGCTAAGCTTAGCTATCCTTACGAATAATTATTAATTATAAATATTAATTACGAAAAAATGTAGAATTAGCCGCTCAATTCTCGTAGAAGTGAGTAGTATATATTGCATGAAATGTTTGCTGGATCTGAATATCTGAAGATTCCTGAAAATCAATTGTCTGTGACTTATCCTTCTGAATCTTAAGATTCAGATTCAGATTTCAGATTTATGTTGCGAGAGAAAAGATCTGAATATAAATACATTATAGGAATAAAATAATTTAAGGAAAAATTAAGGAAATGGATTTATACGGGTCTACGGATGTTCAGATTTTGGCGGCATTTATTAAGATCAAAATCCATCAAAGTATCATCCCTATGCATTCCAACTTTAGAAACAGTTCTGTTTAAAAGCGTTAATTATTAAGAAAACCGTTGATGCGCCAAACAGACGCGACGTTAATTGCGGCTCCTATATATATATATATATAGTCATCGCGGTAACGAATGTAGTCCTTGTTGTCATTTTTATTATCGCCATTTTTACTCTTCTACCGTTCCATCTCGCGAGAACACTGGCGAAAATGATCGCGAACGTCCAGCGTCGACAAATTTCGCAAGGTTTCCTGTGTACACACATAAACATACACACGCACACATTCACACACACATACACACGCGCGCGCATTTGGAAGTTTCTCACGAAGGCAGAAGGTTCCCTCTGTCCTCGTTGTCGCACGATCATTTCGAGCCACATGTTTCACATTCGTATCTAAGAGCTCGACAATCCGAGGTTCCTGGGATCCTGTGGCTTTTATAAAAATCCCTCGAGGTTTCCTTCGCGGCTGTCTGAAGCCTGGAGGATCCGAGGAACCGACGATTTAAGGACGCCAGGATACGCTACTGATTGCATTTACGCGAGTAGTCCAGGAACGGCACCGAAGTGTCGGGCCAAGTACGGCGCAACGCGCCGCGACATTAACGTTCGTTAGCCTAAGTACGAGGGTTTTTAAGCTTTTTAAAGTTACGGCCACACCGGGGAGAGCGCGACTCCCCGCTCTGGCGGCAGGTGATACCAGTAAGTGCAACCAGTAACTTAAGCACGTCACACACCATTACGGTAAATCATTAATATGTAAGAATATAGAGTACGTAAAGTGGACATAAAGGGGAGGAGAGACGAAAAAGGCGCAGGAAAGAGAAAGAGAGAGAGAGAGAGATCATGGTTTTTAAAATTTCGAATGCGAAGAGCGTATAATGTAACGTGTAAACGATATCGTATTTTAAGCGCCGGATAGGCGGGTTTCACAGAAATTACAACTGATTATTAAGAGGATTATTATTATTTATTAGCTCTATTATAAAAATATATAATATAAATATATATGTATATTATATATATACCTATACTATAGTAGGGGAAATCAAATTTTATGTACTACAGAGCTATTTGTATAAAAGACATTTGTTTCACCACACGATCATGAATTCGGCATCGCTGGACATTTAATTGCCACACTATCGTCATCAGATCTTAGGTAATATATATTTTGGATATAATTAATCTCGAGAAAACTTCTAGTTTTTATTATAGGATCTAGGTATATACGTATATTTGCATTACTTGTATTTTTCGTCTGAATTAGTTATTAAGTTTCTAAGTCACGCGCGCAGAGAAGCGACGCTTTTTTAGCGAACGATTTTCACGAAAGGATCTTGCGCTATTCGGGCCAATCGAATTTTCAAAGAAAAAAAAAAAAAGATGAAAGGAATGTATGTATCTCCGAGTTTGCGGACGGATCGACGGTGCGTCAATTCTTTACTCGAGATGAGAATCTAAAAAAGTTTCTGGATTGAAAGATAGAAACAAAAATTTATGGATTTGAGATGATAAAAATAGAAATCTTAATACTATGCAATCCAACATTCTTAAAACCTCGAACACTATCTTATATGTTTTCTCAATTAAAATGTAATGACAAAAGTAGCATTCACCGATTCTTTTCACGTCAAAAAAAGAATCCCTCGGATTAAGAATTGATCAAGGTGATGGGAGGAAGCAAACTCCTTTAAAAATCCGTCATTCGTCTGGCGAACGTTCACTTCACTTGTATCTCGCTTCACTACACTGTGTAGATCCGATCGCTTTTGCTGTATGATTTTACAAAGAATAAAGAACACCTACAAGACACAGATCAGGAGAGAGGTTTTATTGAATAGTCCACGATGTCACAGGCGAGGTAAAAGGTAAATATGTACGGTATGTATACATTGACATCGGAAGAAAAATCTTGCATTCTCTCGTTTATGCTGTGTCACACAATTTTACATAAAATGTAGCGATGCTCCCTATGCATCTACAATGCAAGAGATCGAATCTTTTGTCGCCTAAAACTCAACGCGAAATAATGTCCTTTTAATCTTTTGCGTGAATAAAGATTGAAGATTAAATTTTGCACTGATTCGTCATGTCGCGTTGATTTAACGCATTTATAAGTACTCAATAAACGAAACACAGGACGATGTCTTTTTTTCAGCAGTTTATTTAAACCTCGTGTTACAAGATAAGACTTAGCAGCAAGGCTTTGATCGTGCGCGTGCATGTGAGTTTCGGTATGTTGTGTACGTAATGTAATGCGTGTTCCGTGTGACAGAATGAATAGATATGCGAATATGTTTACAACAATCAAGAATGCATTCGGAAGGCCGCGAGCGAGACAAATATGGTTACAATACTATTTCGTTTTATCGATTTCATCTCTTCTTGTCGACTACACGATCCAACTACGCTTCTCAAAAAGAACTTTGCAAGTCATTTATTAAAAAACATAAAATTTCTTTAGGCACGGTTCTTACAATTAGTTCGAAGAGAACCGATAGATTTAAAAAGTACATCTAAAAATGCAAAGATACTCGAGATTTGTAGATTACATAAATTTTAATATATATCGGATCAATATATTATACATCTGTGAGATATATTTTCTACAATTCTACTCATAAACGAACGAGTATAGCGCAAAAGTATTTTTGATCCGCGTATTTCCATGGATTTAACAAGCTCGAGTACACTGCGGTATACCAATCAGCGCGTGATCTATCTTAGTAAGACTTTACCGCGTAATTATCTTCACCCACGCACTCCCGATCCCTTTTTCTCCCTCTCATCCGCACGCGCATGCACACAGAGACAATTATGCCACCCTCTCTCTCACGCGCTAATAATCCATTCCCTCTTTCGTTATAACACGTAGGTCACATCGATCCATTAGAAACGACATTGAAGACAATATGTACAGATTGATTACATATATATATATATACTAAATTAATCATTAATTTAAACAATGAAAGTTAGTACCTTAGAGCGAATATTACAGAGACGTTATATGCCGAGCGGAACGATCGGGTCGGTGGTATCGCGTTTGATATTTATTCTTAATGAAAAATTTGCGCGTGTATTCACAGCTAATTATTTCATTTTAATGCATTGCCATGACGTTTACACATTATGCTGCACAAAATTAATTAAAATACAGTTAACAATTGACACTTAAATGATGTAATGTGAAAATAATTAGAGAAATAATTATTCTACATTAAATATTATAATCGAAATTATATCGAGTCAATCATTTTAATTTTTCAAAGAGAAAAATGCAAATCTTTTTATATTTATAAATTTATCGATATATAGATATATTTCGATCATATAGCGACGTATCAAAACCAATTGGACATAGCTATTCGTTTATTCTAAAGCACAAAAAAGATGATGAATCATTCTACAATTACTAGGCAGTAGCGAGCAAAGAGATAGAATATGAAATAATAAGACACCTTGACCAAAAAAAATAAACCTTTTAATTCGTTAAAAAAAAAAAAAAAAAAAAAAAAAAAAACAGAGGAACACAGAATATAATTAGTACCCGATCGCTCAGCGATGCGCTCGGAAAAAAGTTTGGTCGAATTAATTAAAAGAGAACTTCTCTTTCGTGTATAAATATTTAAATAATCCAATTAGATAGCCACGTTAAAGCGGTGAACGACATCTTGGTACGCATTACGTTAAAAAAGTTATCCCGGCTCTTTTCGCGTTATTTTCCGCCGCGAATATCGTTATCTCCGATGACCTAACAGTTAGAGAATAATATATTCGTCGTATCATATATATAAATCAACAGAACCGATACCGTGTATGTCACATGTCACATTCATACGACGGTTTAAATTTGTTACATCGTCATTAGAGTATCTTTCGCGCGATATAGCTCTGGTGCAGGAATATATATATTTATATAAATGTATGTATATGTGTATTTTTTTTTAGAGCAACAAAGACGAGAGATATTCACGCGTAATTTATCGCATGCGAAGCTTCCGATTTTTCCTCCGCGAACGAGTATTTTGTATCAAACGACGTAAATCGCGACGATTTCAAGATACGGAGGATCCAAATTATATAAAAAAAATTTTAAATTCGATATTGCGCTGTGATATAATACCATATGTGTATGTGTACAGACCGTTTTACGGCGCTTTAAGAAACTCGCGCGCGATCATTGGCGTATTATCGTCTTCGTCATCGTCGTCGTTGCCATCATTGTGGCGATCTTCATCAATGCATGGCCCAGCCGATGGTGTAGTTGCGGGAAACTCTTCCCATGCGACGCAGGCGATCTGCCAAAAGAAACATGCTCGAGGGAGCTATTACGGTGGGTGGTGTTTTAGGGGCTTAATGGTCGACGCGAGGATTCTCTCCAAGGATCGACTTGAGAGATCTTAAAACTCGACGAGTTTACACGCAATTCTTATGGGCACATTTGCAGATCAATAATTTAAACCAATGACTTTGAAAGACTGTGCAAGAAAAATTTCGGTATCGTTGATCTCCGAGTTCCTAAATTCTCGGATGCGTGGATCGTCGAGCGTGACGATCGGATAGATAGGCACTGTGGCGAGATTATTTCACGCGATAATTAATCAATTCGAATTTGGTATGACTATTTCAAAAATCGCTTCTCTCGAATTAATAAAAATAATGTTGTATAAAAACAATTTCCGAATTAAATTTCATTTTCTGACTTATGTTAGACGTCTAATAACGCGACAAAAGCTTATCGTGAGATATTTAACAAATACAATGCAAATGATAATAACACAGGATATCTTGGGACGTAATATGTAATTCTCTGTAAAAGTTTCATCGCAAAACGTCGTCGCAGACCAATTATTAAAGCTCTTAGAAAATAAGTATAAAAATAATCTTGGGTAATTTGCATCATGAAGATCCTTCGGATGGGAGTAATTCGCAGCTGCGCGGAATCTTCCCGGATTTCCTGGATTTTTTCTTTCTCATTACTACGTGTCTCGCCAGTCGTAAAGCAAAAGTAATTAACGCGCGTATTATGTCAAACCATTACCGTGGCGATAAAACAATTTACGCATCAGACGCTTATATATATATATAAAATATAAAGCTAGCCGTATTAACTCGCACGAAGAATATTACACCTCGATATGTATATGTGTACGTGTATGTGATCGTATACTTGATGTTTTATGTACATACGCGCGCCTCTCTTCAATGTGTGATGAGTAATCTTGTAGTTGCCGTTGTAGAGGCAACAAATTTCGTGCCGGAGTTAATCTCCGCGCCGCGTGCACATAAAACGGAAATTATATCATTTCAAATTATAACATTATACGTAATCACTCGCGCGATCGTTAAATCTCGTTGTGCAGTAATTACGCTAGTATCATGTTTATTAGTTACTTGATTATTTTACAAATAATCGACGTAAATTCCCAAGGCGCAGTAATTTATTTCTCTTTTATCACCGTTATACATTTGCCAATAAGAATTGAGAGTTTGTCATCACTTCGTATTTATAGCGATATTTTTATTCAAAACCGTGCTCCGTGATAAAAACAGGCACGCTCCTCCCGATAAATCTCGTCGACTCTCGCGAACAAAATCGTGCCCGGTAGTAGCCTCGATGGAAATCAGATTTATTGGCGCGGACGTGTTCCGCAATTTTTTGCCGATTAAGAAACGGCTGCGTCTGCCATACGGAGATAAACGATTCGCGCCCGAAGAAAAGTTTAGACACCCGAATTGTATGCAAGGGACGCTAAACGATGTCTGACACTATATTTATTTGCCATTTCTCTCTGTGAAGGAGTTTATCGTTTCCTTGTATTTCGAGTGTCGGAATGACTGGATGCAAAACCTATAATTGTTTATAATATATGCATTATCAGAACATTGATAAAAAATCGAATATTCGTGATTCGCAGCAGGTTGATCCACGGGGGGGAACGAGAGAGATCCATAATTCCGAGCTAATAATGCAGCATCCGTTTTGGCTTTTGCCGGCGTGTATGACGACGCGTGTTAAGTAAACAACCGCATTCTGCATTTAATGGGGAATTAATTATCGCGGAGCGCGCGAGAGATGCCGGGCCAGGGCATGTAACCGAGTTCCGCCAAGCCGCGCGATGAAAGCGCGACGAGCCGTTGTAGTAATTTATTATTCCCGTAACGTCTCTACGCGCGGACCAACTGTAATACGTTAGAGTGTAATTAGTTTAGCCGTCGGACAATCCCCACCCGTAGTTTACGCCGCGATTACATCATCGTCAATTTTTCGGCAACGCCCGGATGTTCGCGCGGATTTTTCCCGACCGCCCCGAGCGCGGATAATTAAAAGCGGATACGGTAAATACGGTTAATTACGCCGTTAATCAACCTGGCGATTGGAGTGTGTGTGACGTCAGAGGAACGTAATTTCAGTACAAATTTTTCAGAAGAGATGAAACTTTGATTTGAAAATATCCATCCGTTTTGATATGTTTTTCTGAATATTTTACGCGATAAAAATGAAAATTTGTAATTACAATTTTGAGATTGCCTTAAATGAATGCGTATCTTTTTTCTGTAGGAGAAAGAAATAACTAGTTTTTATTATTTTTGAAGCTTTAATTTCGCAACTGGCTATTTATCGTGAAGTAATTGCGACAAATAAATCCTAACAATCACGATATCGAATCGAGGTAATATTACGAACGGTTAAACTATTGCTAAGAAAAACAGACAATTCGGCAATTTTCTTCTTTCTCTCAATATGACGACAGATTCTCTATGGAACTAGTGAAAAAAGTAAACGAGAAAACTCGCGGAGCTCTCGAGACAGTCACCGTCGAGCTTTTCACGCTCGACTGACGCGTCCCTAGATTTTATCTTCCCTTTTCGAAAATCCCAAAGTACTTCCATCATACTTTCTTACTGTTTCTCTTTTCCCGATCTGCCCTGTCTTCTAGACGCAAAAAAACATCGCTACAACCTCCTTAGAAATCGCTGTCTTGTTTTTGCACATCCCCGTTGTTTTCTTCTCCCCTACTTCCGTCGGCGGTCTGTTTATCTGTTCCAGGATAATTCGGATCCCCCAATATAGAACGAGCCACTTCGTCAGAATTTAATGCACCGTAAAACGAGGCTCCATCCTCTCGGTCTCTGTCTCCGCACTTCCGAAGTCGCGACTGAATCCGCTTTATCATTACCGCTGCAGTTGCGCGCGCGCGCGCGCGTACGTACGATTTTGGGGGAGACTCTCGTTCCCGAAGAAATCCGCTCGCGGGATAGGGTAGCCGAGATAAGTAAAGCCGACGAAAGCTTAGAACCCGCTTGATAGAGAAGCCGCATTTTCATCTCTTAATGAGTTTTACCAACTCGTGCGCCATCCGTACTACATCGTATTACATCGGCAATTTTGGACTATCATTATCGTTACGCCTGGGAACTTTATCACCAAGGAAAAATAAAAGTTTATATAGATTCGTTGAAATATCTATTTAAATACAATTGTAAAAGTATATATAATGCATAAAATGTCTAGCTAAATTGAGTTGTAAACTAATCGATATATCCAAAATATTTGTTATTAAATGCGGAATATGCTGCATTATATTATTGATTTACATGTCCGAATTTAATAAACGAGATTCTAGTTTATAGCTGAAACATCGATTAAATTATTAAAATACACAGATCCGACCATAGACAGGACAATGAAATATTTGGTTATACTAACACTTCTGCGAATAAACTCGTACATTTAAACGGATTCGTATCAAAAAGCTGACGTTTCGCTCGGAACACGCGTATGACGAATCGTGTGCGCAACTTTATTTCGAAAAATTGGCAGACAGATACTGAAAAAAAAAAAAAAAAAAAAGGAAAAACAAAGGGCTCGAAAAGAAAGGAATGGTAAAATGGAAGAATAGCGCCCGTCAATAGAAATTCGAGGCAATCTATTCGGTAATTGAAGCTTCCATTATTTTTCCGACAAAGCTGTGTACAACCAACTCTTTTCGTCGATTCTGTTGTTTCTCACGTTTTCCTGCATTCCGTAATTTGCTATTATTCTTTCTTTTTTATATAGATCCATGTTTCTGAAATTGTGCCTTGGAAAATTCGATTCTCTTTCTTGGGAAAAAAGAAAAATCAACGATAAACATCCTTGTGTAATATGAGGATTTAAATTGAAGAATTGCGTCTGAAGCCTTGCGCGCTATGATTTTAATAATAATAATATTAAGTTTAATAATACTCGATATTTCCATTTTTCACACGACGAGTAATATTTTTATTTCGCGATGAATAAAATATTTTCAATATATTTCTTTCCGTATCTCGCCATACAGCGCCGTATTATCCGATCCTTAGAGAATATTCCTTTCATTTAATCGCAATAAATTAGTAGTCTACTTGAACATCAGTAATATCAGGACAAGAGTACGTTTCTCCATGCTCTCACAGTGCATTAAATCATTAATTACTATTAACGTGAAACCCTGATGCTATCCTTGTACTAATTATGTATAATGTGCTATATTGGTTAGCACATATCTCGTTAACACATTCCGCGTATACAATATTCCACCAATTTAATACAGGTATATACATATAGATAGTGATCGTGTTAATTATAGTTGACTACAGGAGATGCAATTGTGCTACAGTGTCTATGTCTTGGGGATGCAAACGTGTAAATTACATACAGGACCAAATATAAATAAATACTAACAACGTGTTAATCAGTGATGCATTCCTAAATAAAATATGTAAGGGTACTAAAAGTGCAGAAAATAAAGATACACGATGTACATCATCTCCATGAAAGAATATCAACTTTGCTGCAACGTATATTGTCTATATTATAACATTTTTTTAAACACACATTATAAAATATTAAAAATTATTTTCAATGCAGTGGAAAGAGTTATATAGAACTTGTGCATATCGAGATACATTTTACAGAATAAAAGGCGAAACTTCCGAATTGCAACCTGCGTTTATCTGCGGCAACGATTGCGAGCAGCTCGAGCTATAACAGCGGCTAATCGGGGTAAGCTTTAAAAAAGTCACGGTGCCTACAGCGTGCTAAGCGTGCCATTATATCGGATAATATGCGGCCCTCGCGCGATATACAAGCTTGCATGCGCTTTAATGCATATCGATGCAATCGCGACGAAATTAACCGACCGGTCGGCACGAGACCGCGCGTAAAAGGGGATCCGATAAAATGGGCTCCGGTCTTGGTGAAAAATATTTATCGAGCGTTCACTGCGCTCGAGATATTTCGGTCGTTATCGCGGGGCGGAAGAGTTACAGCGCGAACTAACTCGCCCCGTTCGATACGCCAGTCTGCTGCAACAACAGCTGCAATAATAGCGTTTGCCAAGTTTCGATTCTCGAAATTCGCGCGTTGGAAGAGAGATCCCGACATCAAGCGCGATTCACCGTCGGAACTTTGTTAGTTGACGAGTACTGCGAATTACTATCAGTTTGCGAAAGTAACAACATGCCCTCTAGTTTGTACGGTATAATATTTAGCAAGTAAACACGTGTCAGAACTTTCGATGTTAATTTTAATGACGAACTCTTTTATACCAATTTCAAGCAGCATATTTTCCACGTAATATAGTTAATTAAGCTTTATTAACAAAATATTTAATACTAGATTGTAAACGAGTTGAAAGGCGACGCTATCTTTTGAAATTTTTCATAAAGTAGAAAATTGATCTTTAAAATTTAAAGTGATGGTTCTGAGCGAATTTCGAGATGAACGAAAACATAGTTGAATTATCGAGCACGTTTAATAAAACATTTCCCAATTAAAATTACATTTTTAACAAAATAGCAATTTGGGATCAAAAGAAATTGGAAGCTTCGTTCAAAGTTTACGTTACTTTTGCGCGTACGTGCTATCCAGAAATAGCGATTAATAATTCCATATCATCACGGCATCGTCGAAATTGTCCCGCCGTTTAATTTCGCGAATCGTGCATCGCAATGTCGCGATGCACGATGTAATCAAGCCGTAGGAGAAGGGAGAAGTGCGTATGTGTGTTGCACGAATACATATATAAGCGCGCAGCGTTCTATACGGAGGAAACTCACGCAACGTGGACGGCGAATATGCACAGCGTCGCACAGAGGGATGTAAAACAGCAGGGGGAGGAAACGGCGGGCAAACGAGAAACGGAGAAATGCGATTAAGCGACAGTAGTCGGCGGGGTACGTTGCGTGTTGTTTCGATCTCGACGATTGCCATGCGCGACAACAAGTCCCCACATCAACGACACATATCCGATAAAATATCCTCTCCGCAGTCGTTGATCCTATGCAAATTTCGCTCCCAGCATCATCACCGTGCGGTTATTCCGAAAGATACTCGATAGTCCATCGCGAGATAGCGATTTGTAAATAGAATAATCAATAAGAACATCCAATTGCAATGTTATAAATAATTCGGAAATTACTCGACTAATCTGATGAGCTACAAATTTAGAATGACAGTCTAAATTGGAAGGAATCGTCGTTTTAAATCTGACGTTTCCTCTAAACTTATTATAGAATATAATCATTAAAAATAAATATTGATCATCACAATATCTAAATTCATCTGTACGTAACCAACTGTAAATAAAATTGTTTAGAATTGTTCTAAATTTGAAGAAACGATCTCATGTATCGCTTAAATTTATAATGATTATTAAGAATGTCGATTGGCAATGTAAATTAATCTGGGCAATATAATCTTTAAATTTAAGCTGATAGATGTTTCTTCAATTATAGAATGACCATTAAGAGTATCAATCGTCGTATAACTTATTCAACGATTCGCGAATGTGTAAATTAATCAAACTAGCTGTAGATGAAATTTACAGTGAGAGTCTAAATTCGAAAAAAACAGAATTCTTAGAAGCTTTGCTTAAATTTACTATTATATTGCATTATTTTTTTTAATTGCAGTTATAAATATTTGCCATACATCTTGACTTCTTTAAGAGAGTCGGTCACTATGGTTATAAGTCCGAGGATCAAAACCCTCCAAAATAAAGAATTTTTCGATTCACTATATATTGTACACACAGCGAATAGAGTCAAGTAATGTAAGCATGCTGTTTCATATCTCGTCGTCGTCGTCCCATTTTCGTTCGCGTTTCCTCGCGAGAGACACAACAATTGTCTTGGCAAACGACAGGATAAGTAGATTAAGCCTTTAAAGCGGTGACATAGGCGGCAATGAGATCAGTCGATATATGTGCGCGAAAGAATAGTATACATTTATATATAATATATATAGTATATGTGTGTGTGTGTATATTATATATATGTACAAAATAAGATACCTAGGCGAACGCCACTTCGCGTTAAGATGTCGCCACCCCGAGCCGGGACTGCCGTACTGCAACAGACACCCGAAACACTGTCATCATATGCGTTTAGCAACTAAAAAAGAAAAATACTTTACCGATCCGATACATGCCGGTAAAGAATATGCAAAAAAAACGAAAAAAAAAAAAAACGTAACAAACGTATCGCTCGACCTGCGGCGCATCCGAGAAGTGCGACTTTGCCAATTGTCTTTAATCCGATTTCTCGATTCTTTTAATTAGAAAAAAATCCTACCATAGAAATTCAAGAGGCATATATAATCAATAATCTCTTCTTTTTATCAGAATCGTTGTTGCGTTAAATTCCCATGGACAATCGCAAATCATTTTCCCGAAGAAAAAAGAACACGATATCTCGCAATCTTTGTAAAACAATCGTCGGACAATTTTCCCGTTTATCCGCGACGATGTGCAGGATCGATTGTTGCCGGACAAAAAGCACATTACATGATTAAAGAAACGTACTTCAAAACGCGATGTGTACCGCGTAGTAATCCGCCCCGTAAAATAGTAATCCCGTCGCGTGGCAGGAATAACACGCAGTGGAGACGTAAAACATCCCCTCGCGCGGATCACACCGAGCGCGCGTCGCTTTTTAATTGTCTTTCGTTCTCGCTGTGGTCTCGCCAAATTGTTTCGTTCTATCGGGCGAAACGGCAGATTCCATCGCCGACACCGCAATTTTCTTTTTATGCCATTCGCGATTAAACGAGCACCAATTTTTTTTTTTTTACCAGCCTCGTTGTTATCAAACTCGAAAACTCGGCTTGAATGTATTACATATATTTCCGTAGATTGTTCAAAACATTTATACATTTTATTTAATCGGTAAAAATGTTTTTATATTCAAAATTAATGTTAAAATTGAAATACACGGTTTTGGAACGTACTTCAGTTTAGCACGCGTAACAACGCAATAATAATGACGAATCAAAAGTATCATATTTTCATTTTAATTTGCGCACCTCTCGTATTCGCATTTCGGTCGAGCGACATGTGGCATGCCTTAAAATATAATATATACCAATCTCGTAAGCTGCTCTTGCATCAACGTTAAGAGTTCTCAAGAGTCCTACATATGATTACATTTCACGCGGAAAAAATTGCAAAGAAAAAATTTCACAATCTATCCCCGTTTATTCGCCGAGTCATTTTCGTGGTCGATAATTCATCATCAACTCGTAATTATTCTCGCATGTCTAGCAATATCGGACGGAGATTTAAAGATTCCGTAAGTAATTTATCGAAGCTCGAGGCGCATTCGTTCCGATTACGTTCCATTAAATTTTTTGCTCGGTGTGCCTTTATAGACGGGACTAACAAAGAGGATCCGAAGTATCTAAAGATTTAATATGCATTACGAACACGTAACAGCGACGAACTCATCGTAAATGCAAAAAGCAGCTCGAGACCGAGAAGTGGTAAATTTTATATATATCTCCAATGTTAGTTTAGTGGAAGAATTTTCCGTAAAATTGGCAAAGACAGACACAACGGCACGATGTTGTTGTTAGTCATCAAACAGATGCGACCTAACCATTAATCTAATGCATGTGTCTTCCACAAATTTATTCCCAGGAGGAATATTTTTAGTCTACGTTGTGATAGAGAGAAAAATCGCAGCGAGCAGAAAAAAATGCCTAACGGCTTAACGCAGCGAAAAAAAAAATTTTCGGAGAAGCGCCAAGTCAAAACTCTCACCATCATCGACGTTGACATATTTCGTTCCGGAAATAAGACGGCGGGACGTATAGCGCGAACAAACAACGCGGATATCCGTGATATTGTTTCAGCGCGAAATTTCGTGGCTAAATGCGCGATATATGCATCGGTTTAAATGAAAATCATGAAAATTATTGTAATTATTCCGCGCAGTTAAATCCTCGGTCCCCAATAATCCGCGCGAAGTTGCAGGGTGATCGGAGGATCACGCGGGTTCAAGAGTATAGCAAAAACGATACTGATAATGATATCAAATAAATATGTACCTTCTTCATGTGAATATGCATATGATTCGAAATCATATGAAATTTGAACAGGATTTATTCATTTTATTTATTTATTCAGAGATTATATTGTTTTTTATGAATTTTATCCAACGAAGATAAAACACAAGCTTATATAAATAGTTTTCAGATTGTGTTCTCTATTAAAATAAATGACAATGCACTACTCTTGATAACTCCTCAGAACATATTTACCGATTAAATTTTTAGAAAACAAAATTCCGTTAGAAAATATACATATCCGCATTGTTTCTTTAATGATAACAAAACGACATAAGCATAATGACTGCATTAATAAAATTCAAAGTATAATATTTATACAGTTTACGAAGTACTTACAGTTTATTTTACTCTCGGATGCAATGTGGTCTCTAAAGATACAAGTTACGAGCGAGATCTTCCCGTCACCCCAAATAAATCCCACGCAATAAAATCCACCCGCATCGACAACTAACATTTCATGTTACGTGAAAGCACTGCGCAAAATATTATTTTAAAATGCCGTTCACACAATTCGCGATAAATATTAGCAATTTTGCGCCTGGTGCGCTAGTATTCGCAGACTCATTAACGCGGCTCGCGTCGTTAATCCCCGATGAAAGAGTAAATTGTTCTCTCAGTTCAGCGAGTTGCATTTTAAAAATAACGCCTCCACGGTGCGTTTTGTAAGCGTTACAACACACGGCGCCGATCTGCGTTAGCGCATCATAAAATTCGCAGGAGGTAAAATCCGATAATTACGCGCACAATTCAAACATTTTCAAAACTAGAGAGTAAAATTGCAAAATTATACTTATCGGAAAAGAAAAACTCGCAAACTTGAAAATGAAATAAATAAAAATTCGAGAATTTAGTTCAGAGAGTATAAAAAACTCCAGAGAAATTTAGAATCTCAAGATTTTATTAAGCTAAAAAAAAAAAAAAAAAAAAAAAAAAAAATATCACGATTGAAGTATCCAAGGAATTTGTACAAAACTCAAAATTGTGGAAATTTTAAGGCTTCCGAGGACCGAGTATGCTTTAACGTTTTCATAAAAATATCCCACGCTAGAGCATCGCAAGATTTTTCCGACGTACGCGCAATTCTAATTATTCCAAAAGAAAAAAGGAGACTATTCATCCCATCCACGAGAAGGCTCGATTAGACTTGTTAGACGGACGTGCGCGTATAATTGAGCGGTTCTCGAAAGAAAAAAAAATGCCCGCGCGAATAGTTCAGGCAACGATTCACTCGGTATGAGACGTCAGTCAGATTCGGTTTGCACCAACGTCGGCGTGTGTTAAGCTGTCTTCGAGCTGACGGGTTAACGTCGGCAGGATGTCACGCGAGGCGAATAAAGCTCCTAGGAGCCTCGCTTCTGTGGAAATTAACGCGTCACGACTTCATCGTGTTTGATAGGATGCATCTAAACTCCATTGCATCGCAAAAAGGTGCAATGGTAATGACTATGGTGATGTGCGTACGTCGAATTGCACGATATTCTAAAAGTCACGCAACCCTCTTCCGTAAACGAAACTCGATTTAATTTTATGCGGCTGCAATTATGATAAAATCTACTTAGTTTTGTTTTTCGAGATCAATCATGCACTAATTAGGCTTGAAAGAATATCATTTAATTTATATGTAAATTGTATAATCGTTTCTCGAAATAAAGCATCGGAATCGAACTTGACGAATCTACTTCGCGAGATTATGCGGAAGCACAAAGTTTTGCGAATCTATATAGAATATATACAATATGTATGTGTATCTCGCTACGAACAATACGACGAATATTCTATTTTCGCGTTTGAACAAACCGACTATGCTTTTTTTTGTGGCGTTATTTGTTTAATAAAAAGCCATGTTAATAAAGCTACAAAAATAGCGTTGGCGTTGGTTAAGCTTTCCCCGCGCGAGAGGGAAAGATGCGATTTATTCTGCTGACGGTCTACCACACAGCGGGTAGCTACCTTTCATTGAATCAAGGCAGGTTTCCTGTGGTTCATGTTAAAGAATCGGAACTGTAGCCGCAACGATAGATCTTTCCGTACTGTTGGGAAAGAATAGGCGTCGTAAGTACATATATCGCAGCATGTGGACTTGCATAGTCTATCGTCGTGGATGTAAACGTTCACGATAAGAGAAATTTCACGGCACCGAATCTCGACTGGCAAGATAAGATTCTGATTATCGATATGTATTAGAATATTACGTTTAATTAATTTTTTAAATTATCTGTAATAATCAGAAAAAATTTTATACGCAGAAACTTTAAGCAAAAGATACCCGTCAAAATATCTAGAATCGATCTACATATATTTTTTTTAACGATCTTGCGAGCCAAGATGGATTATTGCAGCTCGACATCGCGATATTGACGCTGCATGTCATAAAAGAAACACGACCACGTTGTGACGAACACCTATATACATATGCGTCAAATAAATGTGATGTATAATGTCGAGTAGGGACCGGGGCGTCAATCCTGTCAATCCTGCCTGCAAAATCTCAACAAGATACCCTGAGCTCGAATAATAAAAAACTAGACCCTTGTCATTCATACGTCGTATGTATCATGATAGTATATTGAAGTATTAGAAAGGAAGTGTGAGAGACAATCAAACTTAAAAAGAAAGTGGAACGGGATGCATAAGAACAGAATAGAGATGGGAAGAGTAATGCCAACAAAATAAGATCGTGCGACGGATTCTTGAGGGCTGAAATATTAGTCGCATTTATCACTTTTATCATGACACCTGTTTTATCCTACTCTGAGAGATATGGAGAATAAACTATTATTGCATTCGTTTAGTAATGAGATATATTCGGGAGATAATTGTTGTTGCATGTGACTTTCTCCGTGAGAGAGAAGTTTTTTTGATCAAAATGCACATAAAACTACAAACGGTTTTATCTCTAATGATCAATCGGATGCTGAGATCAAGGGCACATTCGGGATTGTCATTGATAGCTAAGAATAGTAGATCTCGTCAAATTGATGCATCCTTTTACACTCATCATATAAAATATTAAATAGTGCTATTAAGAAATTATTAGATTCAAGACTTTAACATTAAAATTTTACTGAAACGTTAACGTTACAAATTAATACGTGTATATAGGATCAATGTAAATACTACAAACACGTTATCAGGTCATACGGGGAAAGGCAAGCTCACTTTTGATAACAAAACTACTCACTGCGCTGCAACAGCGCTACGCTCTATTTTTTAAGTCATCTGCGGGATGAACGGTGAAGTTTGCAGGGCCACCAGAGATCACTACAAACTCAGCTCGTTCCTTGGCTTCCACACGAAAGACTAACCAGATAAATAATCAATTAGAATTACAGTAATCTAAGTCATTCGAATTGGGAATGATTTTTCGACAAAGATTCGATAAAACAATACAGAAGATATGTAACTCTTATATTAACAATTTTTAAGATTTTTGAAGGATTTCGAAGTAAAATTTCATAAGATTGTATGCTTTGATTTTTACAATGACGATGCATGCCGTAAATAGGAGAACGAGAAGATATAATTTTGGGAGATTCCCACGCGCGAGATTTAAGAATTTACAAATTAATTTGTACATGTTTTGCTAGGAAATTAAATCTAACGTGACATGATAATTCAGATACCACTTGTTAATGTTGCTTTGTAATAATGCCATATTTAGCAAAAAAGCAAAAAGCAATAAATTAAAAATACAATGAAGCGTATCAATCGTGAAAGCGTCCTGAGTACTTCGTCTTGTTAAATAATCAAGATCATAAAAAGCTGTGCCTCTTAATGTTGATAATGCGCGAGTTTCATCGTTAATCGAGTTATAAAAGCGTTTAATTAAATATGAAAATCAGTCGACGGATCCATACCAAATTAAACTACTCTAATCTTCGTTTCTCCGTATTTTGCTGTAAATTGAAACAGACAGATCACAGTCTGATCAGTTTGTGTTGTTTGCACAAACATTTTTCTTTATCTATATCTTTAATAACAACAAATGAGAGATAAAATAAATTTTTCAAGCAGTAATAAAAAAAAGCAGATAAAAAAGATAGGAGATATAAAACATGAAGTGAGAGGCTTGATATGTTATTTGAGGAAGAGGAAACAGCGGTTTTCAAATAAAATTAAAATTTTAAAGAAGCATAGCCATTCTTATATATGGCTTCACTTTCACATCTTTTAATCGACTTTAAATTGCAAGAGTTTGGGGAAAAACACTATCAGAAATTAGAAAGTTTCATTTTCAATCGCACAGAGACGGGACAAGGAGCTTATAATTACCTCTATATGTGTCACTAGCTAAAAAAATAATAAATGAATACAGCGAGATGAATAGATGAAATGATGAAATGTGTTACAGTAAAGCACTACATGAGACTACGAAGCAGATTTGGAAGGGTTAGAAGCATTTCGTCACATGGTCTCCATAGTCCCCCATACAATTGCTCCCATCTAAACGTAAAATTAATAGCACAATTATCATCGTGATAGAAACAATGGTATCTACATAATGCGTCCGCGAGACGCTTCATTACTAATTCAATTTATGTGACACCTGCTTAAGATTATTGCGCATTGACCTGTGGAAAGAACTTCATACTCGACACTAAAATATAGTCGCCACAACATTTCATTAGCCTTTATATCTAATTATGTTCGCAATTGGTTATATAAATAAGTAAATCAATGCTAATTATCTTATTGATGTCAATTATTTATATGTGAAAGACATCCTTTTAAGCCTAAAATTGATATTTTAAATAATAGTTTTTTTTTTATAGGCTACCAATCATATATGTATTTTTCATGATCTATAATATGCTGATAAATATTATAAATCTTTGCAATGCTTTTTATGTACTTACTCCTGTCAATGTTGCGTTGCAAATGCGCAGCCACGCGATGTCTAGCATCATTGAATTCCAGATGTAACCCAAGCCGTAGCAACGTTGGGTTTTGTTCTACCAATTGCGTAATTTCCATCTCAATCTTGTTACCCAGTACTTGCGATCTCTGAAAGATAATGTAAATATTAAGATTTCTTGGTCGTTATTTTTGTCACAGAGTTTTTGACATATTTTATACAATAATCTACCTGATTCGAACATCGAAATTCTTCGATGGATTTTGTCTTAAGGAGGGACCTGATCAGCCTTACTATCACAGGTGGGCTTATGAAATTCGTCTCCACGCTGAAAAGAAATTTTAATATTAAAACAATGAGAAGTTAGCTGCGCACGGACTTTTTGCGCAAGAATATATAAAATACGCACTTGAGTACTTTGAGTGTCGAATTCTTTTCTAAAGCATCAGCAAGCCGTTGTGCGGTCTTGTCGTTGAGTCCAACGTTGGTTAAACTTAGCGATTCAAGATGTGTGTTCATTTCCAATCCTTCAAACAATTGTATGAATTTTTCGTCCGAAATATTCTGCAACAAAACACCAGCTCAGAATAAAATATATCGTTCTCTCTGCAAAAATATTACCAATCGCTGTTACTTACTTTAATATTATTCCAATTTAAGTCACTCAGATTGGAGTCATCATCTCGCACTTGTTTAATGGTAGCATCGACATCCGTGTCGTTGGGCGGTTCCATCGGATAAACTTTCGGTTTACTAGCTTTCGTCACTCCATCCCAGCCGAGTCCGACCGGTTGTCCAGAATTCAGTAGAGACGCATGATATTGATCTTGATTCATCATAGAATGAAATCCAAGGATAGCTGAAAGAAAGAAACAATTTTACATAATTGCATTTCTTTCAATTCCAATACAATGGACTCTCGGAAATGATCGATCTTACCAGCAAGGTCAATGATTTCTTCTTGGGTGGCAGCCGAAAGCGCTTGTTCATATTCATCCCCAAGATCTATCGCGATTTGTTCCTCTGCTTCCTTTTCTTTTATGTTCTCTTGTGGCGGCGGCATCCACTGAAACAATACAATGGATATAATTAATACAAATATTACGCAAAACTGCATCGTTACTTTCTATATATACATATTTTCTTTCATAATTATAATTTCAGAAAGGAAACTACTTTTATAATCTGTGAACTCACTTTTTTTCCTCTAATTACACCAGGTACATATGGTTTCAATTCTGGAATATCAGGTGTCTCTAGAGCTTGCTTGTTAATATGTTCAATGAGTTTCTTTCGATTCAGTGGCCCTGTAGGACTCTTGTTGCATTCGTAACTGCAACGTTGCGAAGGAGGCATAAAGCTGTCCTATGAACATAATTTAAAATCAGTCATTTCTAAAAAACAATGATAAAAAAATACACAAAATTACTAATCATTTAAAAAAACAGACTTACATCAGGATCCACTTCCTTGGCCAGTATATTTAGTTCCTCTGGCGTAAGCTCTGACAATAATTGATCCACATCAATGTCATCATACTCGCTCAGATCCTTGCCATACAGCTTGGCTGCTGTCGTCATGGTAGTTGTCTTGGTTGACGAGGAAGTCTGTAAATCGTCCCATGGTCGCTGGTCAACAACTGAATGTTTTCTCGACATTTTGTAAAATTCTATGATACAGTCAAGTGCAAAGGTTCTTGTGTATTTCAATAAGTTCCAATATATTATTCAAGAGCGTTCAATTATGATAAAGGTTTATCTCTACTATATTTATGATTATACAGTCAAGAAATGCATCTACAGTCTCGCCGCTATAAACAAAGGAAAGACCGTCGCGCGTTATTGACGTTTCGAGCTAATTATCGCGGCGCCCGTCTGTCGTGCCCGATCAATTATTCAGAAGAAAAAAAGATGTCGATACGAGGCGCGCGGCTCCGTTAAAGAAGACTGATTGGCGACACGACCGATCTTTTTTATCGCGGAAGCGTTATCGCCGAGTGCCGACAAGCCGTACGTTCGTGATCGACTGATCCGATCGCGTCGATCATATGGCACGTTTAAATTCGGCGAGCGTCCAACGCGGCTGATGCCCCCTGACCCAGATAATTCGGGATCGATTTTCATTGACAACTCGCGTGCCAAATCGGCGACGGTGACCAAAGCGGAATCGCGTCGCCGCCGCGGCCACCGCCCGGCTGACAGACGGGACGGACCCCCCTTCTTTGGGACTCACTCGATGACGATGATGATGATGGCAGGACGCGACCTTGCGCCGGTGCGTGCCGTCACCGGGTGCGTGGATTTGAAGATTAAAAGTCCGTTCCGAGAGAAACGCCTGCTCCGGATTCTCGTACACAGTTTCACTACACGAC